TTCCGGAGGTCCTCCACCGACCGTTCCGTTGGGTCAATCTGGGGGTCATCCATTCCTGGACGCCCGGACTGTAATTGTTATTTTTTCATGATCTCTTCCGGAATTCGCCCCTTTTCTTGGATGAAAGCCTCGGCTCTAACAGCTGAATAAAAACAATTTTTTGCGGACGCTTGGTCCCCTCTGATCTCCATGATCCCCCCTGGCGTGGCGAATTTTAGTTTCTGGTGATAAGTGGAGTGCACCGCTCCCAGCGCATGTAGCCATGCTCGTCCCATGANGATGAAAGCCTCGGCTCTAACAGCTGAATAAAAACAATTTTTTGCGGACGCTTGATCCCCTCTGATCTCCATGATCCCCCCTGGCGTGGCAAATTTTAGTTTCTGGTGATAAGTGGAGTGCACCGCTCCCAACGCATGTAGCCATGCTCGTCCCATGATCACATTGTAGGNGCCAAGCCAAGCCTGAAAGACGCTGCTGCCATGACTTCCGAGCAGCCCTCTACCTCATTAACCTCTTCCCAGTACCGGATGGCGTATTGGCGAAGGGTCTCGGATTCNCGTCCCATGATCACATTGTAGGGAGAGTCCGCATCAATCACAACAAACTCGGTGTTGATGACGAAGGGACCTGTGACCACTGGCAATGTGATTTTGCCTATGGGCAAGGCGAACGAGCCGTTGAAACCGATGAGGGGTGTCCTGACCTTGGTGAGGACCTTGAGGCCAAGATCCATCCGTTTTAAAGTGTCAGAGTACATCACCTCCGAGGAACTCCCGGAGTCTATCAACACCCTCTTGACGTCGAACTTACCTATCTTCAAGGTTAAGACAAGGACGTCGTTATAAGGAATCACCACACCCGTCAAGTCCGTGTCGGAGAACGTGATGCTGGGCTCCCCAGTCCTGGCCCTTTTACTGGGTGGCCCCCCACCATCCTCGGCTATCTTTCTTGTAAAAGCTACCCTTTTGAGATCGGACTCGAGTTCCTTGGACGTGGGGCGATCTAGCGGACATACATGGATGANCGATCACCTCCACTAGTTGGCGAGCCAAGGGGGCGGTTCCTCCTGATCTGATGCCTATACTGGTCTGAGGAGTAGGCCCTCTTGACTGAATAGAGACATTTCTATTCCCATCNTTCTTGTAAAAGTTACCCTTTTGAGATCGGACTCGAGTTCCTTGGACGTGGGGCGATCTAGCGGACATACATGGATGATATCTATGACGTTGTCTGGCTCCTCGGTTGGGGTAGGGGTTTGTCTCTCTACCGTCCTGGACTCTATGTATTCTTTCAAGTATCCGTCTCGGACCAATCTTTCCAAGAACGATTTGTATACCCTGCAGCTTTCGGTGCGATGTCCGAAATCCCGGTGATAGGAACACCTAACCTTTTGATCACGGGTGGAGGGATCGCTCTGCATCCTGGGCGGCCACTTGAAGAATGACTCATGCTTTATCTTGTGGAGCAACTTGAAGATGGGTTCCTTGAACATAGTGTGAACTCCTTTGAACGACCCCCCGGAGGGGGTAGCAGTCCCTTTCGGGGAGTATCGTCCCGCTCCCTCTCTTTTCTCTTAGATTGGAGGGTTCGGCCTTTGCTGCTTCCCATCTCGTCCTCGATCCTTGAGTACTTGTTTATCCGGGCCATCAGCTCGCCCATATCCGAGGGAGTATTCTTGGTCAAGGATCAGTACAGGTCCGTGTCCCTAGCCAAGCCAAGCCTGAAAGACGCTGCTGCCATGACTTCCGAGCATCCCTCTACCTCATTAACCTTTTCCCAGTACCGGATGGCGTATTGGCGAAGGGTCTCGGATTCATTTCGTCTGAGCGTCAGTAATGATCCGATGTCCTTTGGCCGCTTACTCCCTGTAATGAATCGGGCTAGGAACTGTCTCGTAAGCTCTTTCCATGNGTGAGGTCCGGTGGTAACCTGGAACGGTAACGAGAGACCCTCGTGGGCCAATGGAACAATCCAAATAGGCTGAGGGAGGTGCCTGGAACAAAGAAAGACAAGTTAGAAGGGCGCCGGAGTGTNCGTCAGTAATGATCCGATGTCCTTTGGCCGCTTACTCCCTGTAATGAATCGGGCTAGGAACTGTCTCGTAAGCTCTTTCCATGATCCAATGCTGTTCGGGGGAAGAGCCTCGAACCACTTCATCGCGGAGTCCCTCAAGCTCATGGAAAACACTCGGCAGAGTAACCGTTGGTCTGAATGATACAAGGACATCATTTGCTTGTACTGCCTGAGGTGGGCTTCAGGATCGGACCGTCCGTCATAAATTTTGAACCTCGGCACGACGAATTTTTTCGGAACATCCATCTCTGTGATACCCCCGGTAAAGGGTGATTGCATAACCTCGTCTTCGGCATCATCCTTGACAGTCTTGTCATTTCTCCTGGATTCCAACCGAGCCCTGAGATCAATTTTCTCCCCAACAGGGTGTCTTCTGAAGTCTCTGAGTTCGTCAATGGGTCCCCCATTTCCTGGGCATCGCGTGGATAGGGTTGAATCCTCCTCGGACCCATCTCCCTTCCTCCGTCTTGACAGTCCTCGTCGGAGGTTGTCCAGGGCTAAAGGTCTTGCCTTCCTGGAATGGTCGTTAAGAGGGCGCTCGTTGGCTCTTGGTCACTTTGGGGCCGTGGAACTTTCTGCCTTGTTGTTTAAATGATTCCTTAGATCCTTTGTTTCTGCCTCCCGGGCGGGGAGCCCACGAGAAAGGAATGAGTCCCTCGACCCTTCGCCGGAGGCGACGAATTTGTTGAGCCGACTTAGGACGTTCNCACTTTGGGGCCCTGGAACTTTCTGCCTTGTTGTTTAAATGATTCCTTAGATCCTTTGTTTCTGCCTCCNAACTAAACTAGCCTAGCCTAGGCTAGTGACCTGTACATCAGTAGCTCTGGAGGAGAAGAGAATGTCATCCTGGACATTGGTACATATCGGTACCGAGGGGGGATTGGTACATATAGCGACCGATGTACCTATATCAGACCGAGGGATACGTGTCGGTACGTAAACGTACTGGATGCCACTTGATCCCTATGACAAATACCTCGGGGGAGAGGGGCTTGTGAACCGATGTGTACATGATCTCAGTAACAAGGATTAGTGACACCGAGGACACGTGTCTTCATCTTGGAGTATTTCGGAAATGTTCCGTCAGTAACCATGAGCCAACCAAAAGAAAGGACACTAGTTCCACATCCAAGTTCCACATCCAACAAAACTCCAACACAAGGCACTAGAATAACAACTAGAGAGATTATGACCAGAATATATTGAAGTCAATCCAACTTCCTACCATTCACTTCCTTAATTTTATACTCCTTTTTTTTTTTACACTGTTTAATATCGTTCCAGTTAATCAGAGGTGCTCAGAGGGAAAGACTGGACACATACCTAACTTTTGGTATTATTCAATAAATAGCTGCACTAAAATTCTAATCGACATCATCAAGATAGGTAGAAAGACATTTTCACCACTGCAATAAACCCATAAAGCTGTAAATTGGAAGCCAAATGAATCCCAAGCAGTACAGTCGGCACTTGATGCTGCAGCTCAGCTCATTTCTCTACCCTAACCAGTCTTGTTGGGGTAATAACAAAACAGAATCCGTATCAAGTCATTCACTCACGCAACACACTCAATGATATGCGTAATCCATCAGACTGCATATGGATACATTATGTGCCGATCAAAAACAAACAAATCTCAAACTACACATGCACAGAAAAATTATTAACTGCTAATTGAATGTAACCTGCATTTTTATTAGGATTTACGAGTCAAAGGTATTTAAGTCTTTTCAATAATTGTTGACCATGAGCCTTGCACATAGCCCATGAGCCATGTTTTATCAATAATGTCATATTTGGGTTTTATTTGGAGCTCTAGTTGTCCCAAAGTTAAGTAGAGTTGATTTACAAGAATCTTTTGCTCCTTTTCAAGCCCATAGAAATACTCACCCCTAAGCAGCCCTGCTCTTCTCTGCCCAATACCAAAGTTGTTATCATTTTTATAGGAGAGTCTCTTTCGCACTTGCCCTAGAGTTTTGTCGGATAGTCTAGTACCCCTCTTTTCCCATGAAGAAATTGGTGGAGTTAACTAGAGCAGCTTGGGTCTATTTTACTATACTCAGACCTAAATGTGGCATTTAGCAAACTATAGTTAACAATGGGGTAGGTCCATGAAGCTTAACAAAGAGGCACTGATCTAGAATATTCCTAAAACTTGGAACTTACAGAAGGAATGTATTTTTTTCTTCCTGGAGAGGAATCAGATGCTATGAATATTAAACCAAAAGCAAGAAGAGGAAAAATATGTACCACATTGAATTAAGAGGCCATTGTAGCTCATGAAAGCTCAACACTTGCGATTTGTTGCAAAGGAGAAGACCAACTTCTTGTCTTGCTCCACAATAGTGTGCAATATGTAAATGTAACATTGAAAATGCACATCATCTCTTCTCAGTTCTAACATTGTTTGGTGGCTCTATACTTGTGTTATATAGCAATAGCTTACAGTAAACTTAGCACGAGTTCGGTTATTCCAAAAGAATGCATGTCACTATTTGGAACAAATTGTTGTGTTTTCTGGAAAGGGAGTAGAGCATCTATCTTGTGAGAATGTGTGGTAATGATAACTTTTTGGCTGGTGTGGTTCGGACGAAATAGGGGATTTTTTTTAAGATAAAGAGGAATATGTGGAGTTCTTTGGGAAAGAGTAAAGTTTTGGCCCCCATGTTAAAGAATTCAAGGACGTACCCTTTTTTTATACCAGTCTTGATTGGATCAGAGTGTGTAGATAGATGAATGTCTTCTTTAGATCTATAGGATTGCCACTTTTCCTTGTTATTTTCTTCATAGGTGGATTTCTTGCCCACTACTTCGTACTACTCATTATTTAATGTAAGTTTTGTTTCTTGTCGTTAAAAAAAAAAAAAAAACAATTAAGAGGCCATTGTGACATAGTAAAAACCATATCCCAACTTTTCTATTTATTCTTAGTAGTCCGACGAGTCTCCCACCTAACTTAATGGTCAAAACAACATGCATCAAACAAATATTTAAGTATATAGAAAGCATTAAAGCATAACAATTCAATGAATCCTGCATGAGTTTCCCTTTTCTGCAAATTGAATGAATTACCTCAATTGTCTTTCCATTAGAAGCTGTAACGATATCTCCAGGCCTCATGCCGGTTCCACTTATCATATTCTCACAAGCTGCAACAATGAAATGAACCTGCAATACACAACTCATTAATTAGTCATAAGCACAAACATTTCTAGATCTAGCTGCTCCACAGAACACACACAGCCAGATTAAAAACAAATAAAGAAAGCTACGACACTTAAACGGATTCTCGTAAAAGAATGCAAACGTACTAAGTCCATTAACCAAGAATTTCCTTTCGCAACAAAAACAATAATGGTAAGACATAGCTCACCTCTACTCCAGCAGGTTTAATTTGACCAAGAGCTTTTGCTGCACCTAAAACAGCAGCTGAGCCTCCCATGTCAAATTTCATAAGCTCAATTGAACAGCCAGGTCCTGTCTTGATGTTGTAGCCGCCACTGGAAGCATAAAAGATAAATATTCAAGATTCCAAACACTGAACCAGGAAAGGCAGATATGACTGGATAATTATATTTTGCACTATCTATAGGTATGCATCACACAGGAAAAGAGCAGCTGCAAAGAGAAGAGGAACGCCACACAACCGAGAGCATAAGAGAATGGATACTCGGAAAACAAAAAGTGATCCACTAGCCAGCTAGCCATTGAAATTATCACATTACATGACTCATAATTCCACACTACCTCTAACTTTTAGCTACAAGTAATTCTACACTTCCCGAAATTTACATTAACCCCCAGACATTCTATGTGACCCACTTTGAACTCCCAACATTAAGCGGCAATATCCCCAAAACTACCTTGTCTTTTTTCGGAACCAACAATCAGAGTCATCTCATTTTGGTAAAAAGAACATACAATCACCTGTCAAAAGTCAATCCCTTGCCAACTAAGGCCAGTTTGGTTTTGACAGGCCCACTTGGAGGCTTATAACATAAATGGATGAAATGAGGAGGATTTGCAGAAGCTGCAGCAACACCAAGATAAGATCCCATTTTCAATTCTTTGCACTGTTCTGCATCCAAAATTGTCACAGAAAGAACATCGCTGAACATGGAAGCAATCTTTTTGGCCTCTTCTGCTAGTACTCCTGAGGTATCAGAGTCATCATAATTAACCAACAATAAGAATTGGTGTAACAAAGAGAGAGACAGATAATTAAGACCCATTAAAATCGTAAGATGCCAAAAAAACTGCAACTGCAGATGCGTTACACACACCAGAGAGGACAATCTACATTGTTATACTTGAATGGCAAAGATAAAAATGAAGAACAAATGAGCCAATGTTGACGAAATAGCACGAACCAGGAGTGAGCACATTTGCAGGTGCATTTACAAGCTCTTTCCCAAAAATTACTCCTGCACATACATCTTCTGCATACTTCAGCTTCTTTTCTAGCTCTGGTCCAGTTCCAAAACCAAGAATATCCACAGATTTAAGAGCTGGCTTCTTTGACTCAGACTTAAATCTACTATCTTCATAAGTCCCCAACAAAGTTCCTGTCACAATGTCACACATTTGACCAAGTTTAAACACCTCAATTCCTCAACATACATTAAAGGACAATAAAAATGTTGAACATTCAAAGATTAAAATCTACCAGTTGCTATTGCTGAAGCTGAGTTTGGTTTTGATTCATCAGAAAGCTCCTCAGAAGAAGCGAGTGCAATGGCAATACTAGTTGCCTGAGTAGTCTTTGCAGCTGCAGCGACAGCCTCGCCAAGGCTCCGATAAGCGTTAGACGAAGCTGTTGATCCAAGCCCAATTAAGCCAACCCTTTTTGAGCCAAGACCTGGAAGCCTAAGAAACGTAGACTGTCCAGCCTTTCCTGTGAAATCCTCCTCATACGAGGCTTCAGACAACAAACCACCAAACTGGGAGTCTAGTTTTTTCAAAATTGAATTTTTGAATTTTGAGTTTTCATCTTTGGCCAAGTCTTTCTCAGTAACACCCACCGCAAGTATGTCTCCTTTCCATTCTACCAAATCAATCTCTTTTGCAGCAAAAGAGATCTTTCCAACATTTAACCAAAACAGGTAACAAACATTAAGCATCTAGTACTTCGGTAACCAAAAGTATAATCCTAAACCCCCAAAAGGAAAAAGAGAAAATACAAATAAAAGTAACTTATTTCCAAAAGTACGATCAAAAACAATTTTTATGAATACACAACATGCATAAAGTTGAAAATCAGCATGTTCATTAACAAGGAGACTCAGATTTTGAAGAAAAAAAAACATTCTGATCATCATCAACTCGTCCAATAAAAAATAGGCTTATTGGGACAAAGAGAACCCAATTGACCAATATCAAGTATTCTTAGATTCAGATGATTCATGCATTCAGGAGTTCATATAACAGATAAAAACATTAAGGGCTCGATAGATAAACAGATAGAGATTATACACCAGTATGAGAGAGACAGAGAGAGACCTTGGGTGCTTCAATCTGAGCAGGCTGAGTGAGGCCAAGAGTGGCCTTAGCAAGAGTGTGAGCCATGCGCTTCCCTCTTCGCGAGAACAACAAGGGTGTAAGTGAAAATGAAAGATTGAAGACTGGGCTAGACCTAAATTTCGTGAAAACCGAAGAAGAAGAAGATGATGTTGAAGTTGAAGAGACCAATGTGAGAGACGAGGCTAAGGATACTCTAATGGCGGCCATTGTAATGTTTCTTTATCTATATACATACTACTCCTACCTAGTCCTACATGCGTTACAATTCTACAGAGAGAGAAAGAGGTTGGGATGACGACGAATGTTGGGTGCATTGACATCACCAGCATATGGCACCATTTGGGTTTTTCTATCTTTTTTTTAATAAAAAATCGTTTCAATTAATTATTTTTTAACCCACAGTTACAATAAAAAATATGATTAATTACACCGAAAGTCTTTAAAGTATGAAATTTATCTTATTTTAATTTTTAATATTTTAATTGTATCATTTTAATCCCTAAAATATTGAATATATTTCTATATAGTCCCTCAAACAGACAATGTCCAAATTACTAATAATATTTTATCATAAATTTATCACGTAATACCTAAATATAGATAAAAAATAATTTTGATAACTCTTAAACAAAATTTGGGTAGGTCTTAACAAAAAAATGTTTAATATGGATAACTTTTAACCAAAATTGAGATAACTCATAATCAAAACTATGTAATTTTAGCTATTTAACCAAATTTTGAGTAAAAAATTGGTCAAGAGTTATCTAAATAATTTTTTTGTCCATATTTAAGTATCACGTGATAAGTTTATGATAAAAAATTATTAGCAATTTAAACATTGTCTACTTGAGGGACTACATAAAAATATATTAAGTACTTCAGATACTAAAATAATGTAATTAAAATATTAAGGAGTAAAATAATATAATTAAAATATTATGAATCAAAATAAGATATCTCATATTTTTGGGACCTCCCGTATAATTAACCCTCAAAATTAACTAAATTTCTGTTTGATGCTGTGAAACACCCAAAATATTCCTGTTTTTATAGAAAACAAAATTATTCAGTAGATTAATATTCAAATAGTTANTAAAAAATAACTAAATTTCTGTTTGATGCTGTGAAACACCCAAAGTATTCCTGTTTTTATAGAAAACAAAATTATTCAGTAGATTAATATTCAAATAGTTANTCAAAATTAACTAAATTTCTGTTTGATGCTGTGAAACACCCAAAATATTCCTGTTTTTATAGAAAACAAAATTATTCAGTAGATTAATATTCAAATAGTTATGTCTTGACATATTTCGATTAATATCTAGAACATTTAGCAAATAAAATTTTGATTTTTTGATTTTTATTCTATTTTCAAATATTTTTGAAATATTATCATACTATTCTTGTTTTTAAGCTTACCAAAATGAAATGATGTTTAGATTATTAATTATATCTAATTAATTTCAAATTATATAATATCATAAATTAACATTTCTTTATGAAAATCAAATCTAAAATCCCGAGATAATTCCTAAAATATTCTTATCTAATCGGAGAACACTACGGCACTGATGTAGTATTATACCAAAATTTATTTCAAATAAGTGTCATATTTAATTATAAAAAATAAAAGATTAAGTGTCATGATATCATTTTTTTGCACTCATTTGAAAAGAATTACAAACTTATTCCTTAATATCATACCGCCACGTATAAGATTTTAAGTTTTTAATACAATTTTTAAGATTTATTTATTATTTTTTTTAGGATTTTACAATCATTTATAACAATTTTAATATTGATTTCAAGTACTAAAAATTATTGATTTTCTCCTCCCATACATGGTACATGAGCAAATGACTCCCTTATATATAACTTAATTTATTTGACTAAGTCATTTTGAGTTGCAAGCGATTCTTGTAAAATTACAAATTTTATTATTCGCACATTGAATCTGTTCATACAAAAATTATGTTTGAACTTAAATTGAATAAATGATTTACTATATATATCGATTATATACAACATAATTCGTTAGATACGAATTAATAAATTAATTAAATATGATAGAAATATTTTTTGATACAAACCGATCTCGTCAGACATTTTATTGACAGGCCTAGGTGCAACTAATATAAAAATACACAAACACATCCCAGACACATACATAATGAAAATAACTAAAAAGAAAATAAGTTAAAAGACATTAGTTACACAATATACAAACTTTAGGGTATAAAATGAAATTAAACCAAAAAAGGGAGGATTAAAAGAAATTGTAGATTCGGTGCCCATCTCTCACGTGATTAGCAGCACGTTCACCCCAGTCCAAAGCTACCATTTCCTTTCAGCTCTCTGCAAAGCCCTAGGGCTCACGAAACACAGTTGAAATCCAAGAAAGATAGCTAAAGATAAAAAGCAAAAATGGTGGCAACGAATCTGAAAGCAGAAACGACGAATCTGATGGACAAAAGGAGTGGTTTGGAAGTGGAGATGAATGTCATAATCGAGCGTCTCTGTCAACCTGGCGGCCCTGGTCTCTCCGGCAACCTCGTTGATTCCGAGGCAATAAATCAATTCCATCTCTAAGTTTTTGTTTCGTATAATATGTATTTCTGTATGCATCAATCGGCCTGTGTGTGTGAATTCTTCTTTTGGTCGCTGATTTGCGTGTATCTGTGAAGCTTATTAGTAGTAATAGCAAGTTATCTCCATTTGATGTGTGTGTGTGTGCGCGCGCGTTCTGTGAAGTTTTGAAGTTTAGTAGCAAATAGCAAGTTGTGTCCATGTGGTTGCTGAATGTTGAATATGAGGGGGAAAAAGGCCATGTTCGATAGTAAATGTAATTAGATATATGGGAGTGTGCGTGTGTGTGAACTTCAATTGTAATAGGCTATTGTGTTCCCTTTGGTTGCTGAAATGTTGAATATAAGAAGAAAAACATTGAGACCATGAGTTCGAAAAATGAATGCAGTATTTTTTTTGGCCTTTCTTTCCATTGGGAAGCAAATGAAGTGGATTGGCTCTTCTGGATTTGTCTTTGATGATTTGAAGATGTTGTTTTATGCAGGGGTTTCCTAGGTCTGATATTGACATTCAGACAGTGCGAGCAGACCGCCATAGGCTTGCTGGTATGCATAATACACTCCTCATATTACTGTATGTGTACTGAATTTGGTGCTGCAATGGGTGACTTGTATGTTGTACATGTGTCTAAATAGGAAAACGGCCTTTCTGCTGAACTTCTGGTTTGGTTCTGAATTGCGCTTGATAATTTATATAGAGCTATTGGTGTAGTTAATGTTTTGGTTATGGGCATCCTTTCATCGCCATAGCCATTGGAAAATCTGTATCCACTATCTTGGTTTCAACTTGGCGGACTCAATGAGTCTTGTAACTTGTAAGTGTAGTAATTGTTTTAATTGCATTGTTGCTCTCCTGAAGAAATTTGACTTGGGACTTAAATTGCAACCAATTAGGGTTCACTATAAGGTGCGTGAAGGCAAATATTTCACATGATGCTAAACCTTTTAGAAATTTCTCCCTTGAATCTTATAGGGACTATGAAAATAGATGGCATAGAGTTAACCTATTTCCTTTTTTAGTACCCTTGTGAAGCAGTTTTTTAGTCCATACAATGGGAAGCAGCATAGATGATATTGTTTTGACTGATATAATTCATTGCCAAGCTAAGCATGTTTTAGAACCTGAACAACTGAAAACTCTAGTTTCAGGATTTAGGTGCTAGGTGTCTCGATAATCAAAATTTCGTTTCGATATATTATTTCGGTCACCTAGAAAACATAAATGTTTTGGATTTAGAATGAAAACAAATTAAATTTTTGGGAAATTAATTCCTAACTATTCCTAACATAGGTCCAAATATTTCGAAACATCTTAAAACACCTCAAACCATTTTGAAACATTGGTGGAAACATCTTGAAACATTTTGGAACACTTTGAAACATTTTGAAATCCTTTGATGCATTGGAAATTTAAGCACGAATTCATTTCAGTCTCCCGATCAAGATACATTTTGTGGATGTGCCTTGACATTGTGGCATCATTGACAACAAAAGTTTGGGTGTAGATACTATTACTATTCATGCATGAAGGTCATACACATCCTATTTTTGGTCATATGTATAAAATTCGATGAAGTTAAGAGGTTTCCCTTGTTGAGTACTCTTCATTGTGAAGTGTTCAAAGTAAAACATTTTCAGAACACTGACAATATAGGAGTTTAGTAAAGATGGCTCCTAGGCAAGGGCTTCACTTAAGTCTGCATGTTCCCTTGTCCTTAACTTGTTGGATAAAAGTTTCTAGCTGCTATTCATCTCAATAATATTCATGTGAATATGAATAGGCTCGACAACTCTAAGGGTTATTACATAAAATGCTGGCATCTTCCATGTACATCAACCAGCACAAGTTTTGGAATTTACCAACTGTCCATAGTATTATACCTGTTGATGCTGTCCATAGTATTACTAACTTCTAAAAAGGGTGGAAAACGACTCTGCTGCAACAATTGCTACAAGTATCAAGTATTATTTTTCTTTTGCCTTTTCTGAGTAGCAATGCTTTCTCTTTACTCCATCTTCTTATTTCAGAGCTGCGGAATGATCACAAGGATATCACGGAGAAAATAGATCAAAATATTCAAATCCTGCATTCGGCAAGGCTTACTCCTACCTTTGCATCCATAACTCCTTCAGGTAGGAGTTTAAATTGAGTTTCAAGTTACCTAGATTGGTAATGAGAAGATCTACTAAAGGGTTATGTAATGATGTAGTTTTAGTGTCAAAATAAGATAGTTATTCCACACAAATACATTGATATGCATTATCAGAGGTTTGTTGTTTGGGCACCATTTACGTTATCAAAAAAAATATTTGTGATCAATATGAATTTTTAGATTTTAATGTTAACTCTTGAACATTTGAAATCTCACCAGTTGATCCATCATGTTGAAGGTACTTTTGATAATGTGCATTTAGTTTTAGATAAGAGGAGAAAACGAGGAGAATATTTTAGCTTCCCTTTAACTTGGTTGTTGGTTTCATTTGGAAAATGAGAAAAATAGACATTGTTTTTGTTGTTGTTTTTTTTGGCGGGTGGGGAAGTTGCTTTGCAAAAACTTCCCTTCTTGCCGCCAAATTTTGCTTTTCACATGAGGAGAGATGTTGAGGAAGGTGGAGTTTGGGGATTGAGCATAAGTGCAAGACTAGGAAGCACGAACAATTCTTCATGGCCTACGTATTAGTGTCGGACGTGTCTGAGATGCAGACACAAGAAAAAATGTCTTAACGTTTTTGTATTGTGGACATTATGGGCACATGTTCAGGACCTTCAGGTCACATTCAAAACACGTTGTTAGGTGTTTCCACGAATTGAGTTTAGTTTTCCACCATCAACACCAATTCATATACTTCCTTCACCTCAAACATTTTTGTGGAGACCCCATTGCAGATGCTATAAGAAAGTGAGATATTAATTTCTCTGACACTGATCTACATTATTTTTTCACTGGAGTGCAAATTTATTTTGATGCTATCCAAGTGGGGGAAGTGTTTTGCAGGCGTGATCTAGATTTCTTGGAGTTCTCTTGCTACCATAACTCTCCATGGGCAGTCGAAAAGAAATGATGAAGATACCAAATAAATTGGACGGAGCATAAATTAAAGATTATGGTTTTAGGAACTTATTCAAATTTTAAATATTATTCAAATGTCCTATTTTTGATAATTTTTAATTAGGGTTTTTAGGCTTCCCTTTAAATACATATTATATAGTGGGTTAGACTTTGATACTAGTTTATTATAAAATGCAATATTGAATTGCATTGGAAGATTCTAATTTATTATTTTTTTGCTTTCTCTTGAATTTCATTCTTTTCTTTTGGAGGTATCTATTCCTGTCCTTCTTATCTTGCTTTAGGAGTGCTATAATTATGTCCTTAATCTGGTGCTAAATTTTTCTATAAAATATTTATATGTATATACGTACATATATGTGTTGTTCGCGAATATATTTAAATAATAATTTTTTCATAAAAAATTAAAATTATATACTTAATTAAATTGAATGATAAATTATGTTTGGAATAATTAATTCTCATTTTAACTATTGCTAAACCTAATTATTGATCTATTTTATCCCTATTTGAGTATCTAATTTTTCTTTTGTTTAGGTATCTCCCTGACTCATTAGTCAGTTTTCTCTATAGTTTATAATGAAGGTTCATTGTAAGAGCATCTCCAACCTTTACTCAAATTTAGATTCAAATTTAAATTTGAATACAAAAGTCTAAAAAACTTGATCCAACCCTTGACTCAAATTTATACAAAATCAAAGGAAACTCATTTTTTTACTCAAATTAAGGGAGACTCAAATCTTTAGTCAAATCTTTAATGGTGAGATTTCACCATCTTTTAAAGATTCAATGATCATCCTTATTCCCTTTTAAATTTGGGTTTTCCCTCATTTAAATTTGAGTCTCTCCTTCTTTAAATTTGAGTTTGTCAATTGGAGTCTTTTATATCAAATTAAGCGTTTTACTCAAATATTAATATAAATTTGAGTAAAAATTTGAGTCATGGTTGGAGATGCTCTAAGATTGTCATTATTGAGTATTTGCACATCTAATTATTTTTAGATTTATTACATTTCTTGTCAAAGAGATTGATTAAATTGCAATACTATTATTTGTATTATAATAATATGATATTGTTGCATACCAAAAAATCAAATATGACATAATTTTAATCGTAGTCCAATCCAACAACTATATGTATAATAGAATATGCACTTTATTTCTTTATATAAATATAAACATAGATATATAAAATTGTATGCAAGTGTACTACTAATAAATGAGTCTAATAAAATTTAGAATTCAAATATTATTAATAAAAGAGTCCAAAAAAATTTAGAAGTCAAATAGCTATAGGAAATAAAAATTGAATGAAAGTAATAAATAATTTAGAAGTTAAATACTGTTAATAAAAGAGTCTAAAAAAACTTAGAAGTCAAATAGATATATGAAATAAAAAATGAATGAAAGTAATATATGAGTATCATTGAATTTATAATAATAATTAGGTAGAAAATAGGGAATACAAGTTTTTCACAGATGCTGACATTTATAAGTAGTGTATATATATATTTGTGTGTGTGTGTGTATCAAAATAAAATTTCATGTAGCATGCATTATCTGCAACAAAATGACTGCATTTCCTTTCTCCATTCAAGGTGATGTTGATGGGTCAAATAATGAAGGCACGTTTGTCAGTGTTGGTGCATCTGCATCTTCCAACAATGTGCTTCCCAGAGACACTATCAGTGCCATGGATATGGATGTAGTTGTCAGCAGACCCTTTGCAATGGTTGATGAAATAACTGAGGCATCCCCAGCAGCAGAGGATGGCATACAACTTGGGGACCAGATTGTAAAATTTGGGAACGTGGAATCTGGTGATAATCTGTTACCAAGACTTGCTGCTGAAGCACAGACAAATCAAGGTTGTGCCGTACATATGGTTGTTTTGAGACATGGTGCTGTGGTTAACTTAACAGTGACACCCAGAGTATGGCAAGGTCGCGGCCTGCTGGGGTATGTTACATATTTAATTTTCGTCAAGGTCATTCATCTGGGGCTACTGGAACTCACTTATCCTTTGATTTGCTATGAAAAACTGTTTTTCTGTTAAGAAAGGCTATTAGGAACTGTTTGGCGATTGCTTTCTAGCTCTTAGAAGCTATTTCTCTTCCACATTTATGTGCTTCTTACATCATTTTTTTGTTAATTTGACTCTCTCTCTCTCTCTCTCTCTCTCACACACACACACACACACACACACTCGCGTGTACACAACCATTGAACTTCTTCATTTGTAATGGTAGATTTTGAGAAGGATGAGTTTTTGGACTCTCTTAATTCACGTTGACTCGTTGCACTTTAAAGTATGGAGATCATCAAAGTAGTACCATTTTGAAACAATTAACTTCATAAAAGAAAGTGTATTGGTTATTTTTTAATAAGATTATTTTTTGAAAAATAAATTGTCAATATTACTTTTTTTGGCATATTTTTATCTCATACATGCCTATGCTAAAAAACTTAAAAATCGCCACAGCTTCATTAAATATTCAAGATAGCATCATATATTTTATTATACAATAAAACTGATAAGATTCAACCTTTCAGCATGCTCTTTGGTTGTGTCATTTGCCATTGAGTACTACTAACTCTGTTGTGTGGGAATACTTGCAGATGCCATTTCCGAATCTTGTAATGGATTATATTTCCATTTCATTACATAGAGGTGGATTTGGGTAATATTCTGGCTGCTGCAAGAGATTGTAAGATAGACTTGTCTACTTGGAAGTTGTAATTCATAGTTTGTATTTTGGGAGTTGCAAGACAATGTGATGTAGACAGTTGTTTTGATATTACACTCTTTTTTGTCAGTCCATAATTCAAAGTTGACAGAATCATTTACTCTCCTTCATTCGTTTACGTTCTTAATCTCATCAAATATGCAAGGGAACTTCTTGTTGACTGACAACAGTGTTCTTATCTTTTACTGGGTAGTGGTGGATAATTGTCTAGCGGATGCTTGCTTTTCTCATTTTAATCTTGCTTTGAGTTACTGCTTGTGGAGTTAGATCTTTAGCAGCAGTCCAGGTTGATAGCATACCTAGTGATTGAGGCAATCTAGCTCCTGATCAAGTCAGTGAATTCGTCTCCTTTTCTTGACTTATGTAAGCTGTTACTTGACGTAGGGAGCAAATGAAATTTTAGTGCTCCAAGAATTTGCATAATGAGGTGAAAGGTTGGTATGCCAATTATTGTCATGAAACTCGAACTCCGTGTATATCAGGGGACTGCTTTACATTGTTGATGAGGTTGTAATTTTGCTTCTATTATGACTATTTTTGGATATAGTTATGATCACGGATGGGAACAGAGAGGGCCATACGCAACCTGATTATTCATCCTGTGGGGGGTGGACTTGACAGGGGTGGGATGGGGTTTTGGGGCGGTGGGAAGTGTGTTCTGTTCTGGTTTGGTGGTGGTGGGGAGAAGGGGGGGGGGGGGGGGGGTTTTGGGGAGGGGATTTTTAGGTTGTGGTTTTTGGGAGGGGATTTTGGGATGTAGTTGAAAAGAGAAAGAGAGAGAAATAAAGAAACATAAAGAGTAAAAATCAAATACAGAGAGAGAAAATCAAACCTTTTATTGCTAGTGACGATGACTAGTAACGACGGTGGCTAGCAGCGGTGTGCGACATGCACACGTGTTGTTCGTTGGNGAGAACTGAGAAGCCAGCAGCAGTAGTACTAGTAGAAGAAGAAGAACATGGTCTACTATGAAAAATGTCATTTCAATCAAATTTGTTGATTTTTAGTATTTTAACTATTAAATTGATAATTTATTTTAATTAATAGTGAAGTTCATTGTTAATTCAATGATTGTTGTAAGTAATTAGGTTAATAAATTATATTTAAATAACAAAAAAATTTATTAAATCTTCAGTACTAAATGATAGGACACAATTTTAGTACTAAATATTAACTAAGGTGCCTTTTTTTTTTCATTCAATAAGTGTGACATGTGCAAAGCTTTAATTTGTTATTCTATTTTATTCTTCTACAAATTAATATAATAAGGTTTACGACTACAATTTTTTTCCCCATAATATAGTGTATTTGACTAGTTACGGCCAAAAAAAATTTGGTACCATATCTCTAAAATTTATTACTTCAAAAAATATTTTTATAATTTTTATGGGTCATTTTACAACAAAAAAAATTTATTATTTTTGTGGGTATATTATTATTTTTGTAGATTTTTTTTACCATTATTGTTGTAATTATTTTTATTACTTTTTCGATACACCAAAAAATTATTACTTTTATAAGTCTTTTTGCCACTACTCTTGGTGTTTTTACTAATAATGTGGTAATTATATTGATCACTTTTTTTTTTTTTTGTTCCACAGTCCAGTCTTAATGCAGTAGGTGAATTATTGTTTTTTTCGCATGTGTCCTATGGTTATGATTGGTTTGGCAATGTCCAGAGCTGTGTAATAGACTAGAGAGGTAGTTGGAGTAGACTTGGAAAGCAGTACAGCTGATGCCTTAAGTGGAAAATGGCATTGAATTTTGTTAGGGTTTGGTTTTAACAAATGTAGCAATACTACAAAACTATGTGTTGTACAGGTCTAATGTTTGGAACAATTTACCATAGTATTAAAAAACATTTACAGTTTCATGAGTTAAAATTATAACTTAATGAGTTCAAAATTATTTATCATTGAGATCCAAATATTTGAGTTTAATCCTAAAAAAAATTGGATTAATTCTAAAAATTTGAAACCGTTCTAAATTTAAGTAAATTGATTCTACCTAGTTGAATTGTAACTTTTGAGATCATATCGAAGAAGAGTCGTATAAAAGCTCCTTTTGTTTTGGGTGTGGATAATTACATGCCTTGCAGTAAAAATATATAATGCATCTTTAAAGTCAAAGTTACGATCCAATAAGACTCAAAAAAAAAAAAAAAAACCAATGATCACTAGCCACCTTATATNATTTTTGAGATCATATCGAAGAAGAGTCGTATAAAAGCTCCTTTTGTTTTGGGTGTGGATAATTGCATGCCTTGCAGTAAAAATATATAATGCATCTTTAAAGTCAAAGTTACGATCCAATAAGACTCAAAAAAATAAAAAAAAAACCAAAAATCACTAGCCACCTTATATAATATATGATGTTTTGGGGGCTAAGAAAAGGAATAGGGAGCTATGTCCCTCATAAGTTGTTGTCAAGATACTAGAAATAACACGGTTTCTACCTCTCAATTATTTATTTATTTTATGACACGATATCTTTCGCTCGTTCAATTTGCTTGTCTTTCCAAACATGATGTCATCTACTCTAAATTATCAGTATAAAATTCATCTTCAAATTTTGTTTTATACTAAAAAATATCATCTTTTATGTGTGACTCCTAATATCATATAACTCAATTAACTCATTTTTCAATTCCAGCCAACAACAATAATGCACGAATTTTTCCCGAATGAGACGGCTCTCATCATTAACTATATGTGAGTTATCTACTATTAGAAAAAACAATACTAATTAGTAATCCAAATGATGTATCAAAGGGTGTCCGGGGCAAGAAAATTTGCTGATATTTTGTGGGTTTTGCTTTATCATTTCAGCCATAATTTTAATCTCTTAATCGCTTCAAGTTTTTTGTCGAATAAATTAAAAGAACTTGTACTTGGAGCAACTCCAACGCTGCTGGTTATTCTGCCCTTTTTGCTATTTTAGCGAGCAACACTACAATATTTAGCTCCAACCCACTAGCCATCCTCCTCGCCAAAATAGTTGGAGATCTTCACCCTAGCTAGATCTGGAGAGGCTAAATTGTTCGCTTAGTTGTTGCTTGGCGCTCTTTTTCTCTCTTTCTTTCTTGCTTTCTCTCTCCTTTTCTATCAAGTATGTCTTCCTTCCTCCAATTTCTCCATTTCTACTCCTTACCAATTCCTTGTCGAATTGGGTTTTTTATTGCTTTTTTGAATTAGATCTGAGAACCAAAAAAAAAAAATAGGTCTGAGATATTTAATTCAATTCTTATGTTTTTTGACTTTTTTTGAATGATTATTGTCTTTTTTGAATGAGTTTGAACTATTTGGTAATTCGTTTGGAGGTTCTACTGAATTGAATGGGTGTATGCAGATGTTCTACTGATTTTTTATATTTGGGTTGATGTTGATCATGTCATTTTCTTTTGAGTAGATAAAATAGAGAGTATAATTGGAGTGAATTATAAAAAATNTTGAATGGGTGTATGCAGATGTTCTACTGATTTTTTATATTTGGGTTGATGTTGATCATGCCATTTTCTTTTGAGTAGATAAAATAGAGAGTATAATTGGAGTGAATTATAAAAAATGGATAACTAAAATAGAGAATTTAATGTTTAAATATATTTTGAATATTTATTTTACTGAGCAGAGTTAGAGTTACTTTTAGACATGATTTAAATTTTAGTTACATATTTATTTTTTTTAAACTCGTGATTATAATATTTAAATATATATAATTATCGACAACAATTTATATAATTTTTTTTTCTTTTCTTGATCTATTAATCTTTTTTTGTATAAACTAAAAAAATTTCATATCAATTCTATATAAGATTAGTCTTTAACCTAATGACTATCATGTCGTTAGTTAAGACCTTAAGGTTGAGAGTTCAAACTTGGTAATGTCTCCCCTGTAAATCCGGTCATAGCCGGTCAAGTATTTCCTCAAAACCAGTCCTTCCGGTTACCAACTATACAATCAATCTACTCTTTCTCTCTAGTGTCTCAGTTCGCTCATACTCTCCTGTCGTTCTTTTGCTTCTGTACGCTTTCTCTCTTTGTCTCTCTAAAAATCTAGGCAGAAAATCATACTCCCCACAGATCAAACCTCTCTCATCACGGGTAAGTCTCTTTTGGATCAAACCCAGTTTCCCACATTTTCTCTCTTTCAACTTTCTCGGAAAATATCACCAGAAAATTGTCATTATCATTACCAAGACAAAATGTCAGCTTTTTTCTTAGACACAAATGATAAAGCTCTGAAAAGACAAACTATCAGTTCATTATCCGCAAAATGCACCATGGAATCTCTCTCTTTGGAGGCTTATTATTCTAATAATTTCTTTACCTCGCCATGAAAGCCTACATTACAGCTGTATATGGAACATTTTCGTATTGTATTTATGTGTGTGTATGAAGCCTAGGTCTGGCGAAAAGGTGATTACAGGTTTTAATGTTTTTGAAGTTTGAATTACGAGGGAAAATGGCGGGTTTAAGGATGATTTTGATCGGGTAGTGTTTGAGGGCTTGAGTAAACCATGGCTGGTGGTACGAGTGAGATTTGGGGGTCAAAAGCTGGAATGTGTCTTGAGAGCTCTGATCCTTCTGTGTGTTTTGTTGAGAAGCTTTGAGGGCTTTTGGGGCTTAGAGATTTAGAACCTGTCCAAGACCCAGAAGTTTTTTGAATTTTAATTTGTTCAGTTTTGAGGTTCAATTGCTGAAATAACGGCCGGGGTTTATAAGAGAGTGGTGGGTTTTGGATGATTGTGATGGTTTAGTAAGTTATTTAAGCAGGTTAATTTGATAACAGATGAGTTTGAGGATGATTCTGAGTGTTCACTTTGAGCATTTGGAAAAACCACAAGGTTGATAGAAGTTTCGCATTTTTGGAGCAGAGTTAGAGGGCTTTCTATTGATGTCAGGGGCTTCGAGAGTAAGGTCTATGGTTGTGGCTGATTCTGAGACCAGGCCAGTCCTTGGAGCTGCCGGGAACAAGGCACAAAAGTGGTCAAGCTCGAGAAAATCCGTAACAAAGGCATTGAGAAAGGTTGAGATTTCTCTAGAGGAAATTGGGGTGGAGGAAGAGGAGAAATCACCTCCTTCTTCTACCATTGTTCACACAATGCCACCTACATTGCAGTCCATGAGTGTTCCTTCTATACTTCGCCGGCAGGAGTCTTTATTGCACTCCAATCTGTCACTTAGTGCTTCTTGTTCTTCTGATGCATCAACAGAATCATTTCATAGTCGGGCTTCGACTGGTAGGATATATAGAACAAGTAGTATGGCTAGTCGGAGAAGGCAATTGGCCTCAAAGACAAAAGTAGTTGTTCCTGGTGGTGTATCGGAATCTTCACCTGAGGTTTTGCAAACCAAGAAAAGGTGTGCCTGGGTGACTCCGAATACTGGTGAGTCTTGTTTCTGTAATTTTGTGGTAATTTTATTAGACTCCATGGACTTGTGTTTGTCTCTTGCCTGCCCATGGATTTAGCAGCGTTGATCTATTTGCGATGTTAATGTTTCTTGATAAGATTGGCAACTGTACTTGGTAGGACATTCATGAATTTATTTAGGTTAAAATTTCTCCAGGTGGCCTTATACTATGGTGGTTTGATTGTGTTAGCCCAATGCTATATATGGGGATGAAGATACAATTTGGACAAAATTTCCAAATAGGGAAGAGGACTAGTGCTGCTAATGCTGGAAGTGTATTTTACTTCAGAAATTAGTGCTTTAAGTAGTACTCATTTAGCTATGCTTGGTTGCATTTAACATCAAACCGAAGGTTTAAGCCCCATGTTAAATCTCATTTTTATAACAATGCCATGATTAGTGTCAAATACTATTCATTTTTAGCCTATCCCCCAAAGAGTAAATTAGTTAAACTAGGTTTTCTTAGGCTAGTAACTGTTCTTTTGTTACCTATTTTAACAAAAGTAGTCTTTTGCATCTTTATCATGCGATTATTTTGGGGTGAACATACTGGTGAGGGTACTTCTTCTTCTATGGTTTGTGTACTTGATGTCAGATATGTGAGTCTAGGTTGATTATGTGGTTATCTGCATTGAAGTAAGAGCATTGATCTTCTGGCTATTAATTAACACATCAGAAGTTATGCAACTTCTTTGTTTTTTGTCCCTCCTAAATGTATTATCTATTGTTGATCAAATTGCACTCTTTAGTAGATGTTGCCAATTATGCAACTTATTGCTAGACTCTAATAATGACCATATTTTCACAACACAGTGTTGAAATGATTCGGATTTCTATGTTTGGCTCTGGAAGGTGTCAAGTATGTACTCACCAATCTTACTTATCGACAGAGAAAAAAATTAAGGCCATTTATCACCACCAAACCTCCGTAATTGATGATTCTTTAATTTTTCCTATGCTTGAGATTCACTCGATTCAAGGTCTGATTTTCTTTTTTTTTTTCCTTCTTTTTCTTTTTCTTTTGTTCTTCTTTTATCTTGAGTTCTTCTTGTTGACTGTCATTTTTGCAACTACCTTTCTTCCTTGTTTCCCATTATTAGCTCTTGAAAGCATATACTACATTTGTGTTTAATAGTTATCCATTAGTATGAGGAACCTTATAAGACACTCTCATTTGGTATGGTGATGCTTTATATGATCATTCTGGTGGTTGCACATGAGTTCTTTTATGTCCTTTAGCTCTGAGCTCCGAGTCGTACTCTGATCCGTCACCCATAAAGCTCTAAGTGGACACTTTATTGATCAAATAACCATTGCTGCTCTTCTGGACACTTAATTGGCGACCAAACATCCCAACATGGGCTGTTGCCACAGTTTGGAAACATTTCAATTAGTTTACAGTAAGGGATACTGGGATAGTCAAATGGACAAGTGTAAATATATATGGCCATGGTGTTCTGTTTTCATGTGTAAGAAGTGGCTCAACATTATCTTGTTGATTTGCTGTGAGGGATGGTGGTTTCTCTCCAAAATTTTTGTTACCTAGTTAATGCCTCTCTCTGAGGCTCAATCTCCTAGGTGTCAACTGGATGACCTGACTTGATTTTTTGCTTTTGTTATATTTGCTTACTCGTTCTAGTATGTTTCAATCAGACCCATCTTATGCAACTTTCCACGATGAAGAATGGGGAGTCCCTGTACATGATGACAAGTGAGCACTAACCTTGTTTACACTTAATATCTTCAGTTCTCGAACAGTTATCCGCTTCCAAAGTAGGCTAGCATTGACATTTCTTGGTCTGCTGGGTAATCTTGACTGCATGCAGGAAATTGTTTGAGCTTCTTGTCCTTTCCGGGGCGTTAGCTGAACTTACATGGCCTGCCATTCTCAGCAGAAGACATATCTTTAGGTCGTGTTCCTATTTAAACCCTTTTCTTGCTCTGGATTATTCAACAGATAGTTTCTCGGAGTCATCTTCAATATTGCTCATCCCTTATTCACTGTTGTGCTGCAGCTCTATATTTTTACTTACGAAATTTTTGTTGTCCAGGGAAGTGTTTGCAGATTTTGATCCCATCACTGTTGCAAAGTTGAATGAGAAGAAAATAGTGGCAGCTGGAAGCACTGCAAGCTCACTGTTTTCAGAGCTTAAACTGCGCGCCGTTATTGAAAATGCTCGTCAAATAACCAAGGTAGGTTCTTAACCTTTCAATTACTTAACTCTGAGTAACAGATGATGTAAAATTTTGGCATATTTTTTCCTACCAAGTTTCGCAGTTGTGGAAAAGGGTCCACTTTGCCAACCTCAAGCTGTTAGGTTGAGGTCCGTTTTGTTCGTTGGTTGAGGGTCCTCATTGAGTTATTGTTTGTTCGTTTGTGGTTTAACAACATATATGGCTCTTGATAGAGCTCAATGGAGCAACAAGATTCGTGTACCCGGCTCTATAGAGGTGGGATAAGGATTTGTTGACTTGATGTTGAGTTTTCTTCGCACTTTTATAAATTTAATGAGGTTCAAGTGCAAAATTTCTATCTTGCAACAGACTTGTATTGGTGTAAAATTTTCAAGCATCATAGGTCTTCCTGCCTAGATTGTACAATAATTGGCTTAATCTGCCTCCCCTTTTCTGGGTCACTTTTCCAAAAACTAGTTGTTTTGTCTGAAAGGGTGGATGTTTAATGATCACCTTATATGGTCGATGAAGTGGAAAGTAGTTTAGTGTGGTCCTGACCTTTGTGCAATTTGTATTATCTAATGTAGGCCAAAAGGCAAGTTGGCCATCTTTAAACTCTGACCTTAATATCTTTCTAAATTTAGAATTCAATAATGCAATCTAATTGCTCCTCTTATTTAACTTGCCAGCTTGCTTGAGTTGGTAAACTCATCTATTTGTGCATAACCATTTATCTTAATCGCTAAAGATGTACAAATGTCACAATTGTACATCTGTACTTCTTACTAGGATTAGAATTGTGGCTAACTTTTTGCAGGGTTTGCTGATGTCAGGTCATGGATGAATTTGGGTCATTTGACAAATATATCTGGAGCTTTGTTAACTACAAGCCGATCGTTAGTAAATTCCGTTATCCACGCCAGGTCCCTGTGAAGACCCCTAAAGCAGATGTGATAAGCAAAGACCTAGTGAGAAAGGGTTTCCGGAGTGTGGGGCCTACTGTCATCTATACATTTATGCAGGTAGCAGGCATGACAAATGATCATCTCATTAACTGCTTCCGATTTCACGAGTGTTTAGTTGCCGCAGAAGGGATGGAAGAAGATGATATCAAGGATAAAGATGTTGAGAAAAATGCCGATGAAGTAATGGAATCAGAAATACACAGAGGTATTGATGAATTGAGGTTCTCCTCGGAATGACAGATTAATTTTCTTTGTGGCAGATGGTGCTCATGTTCAGTCAAAGATTAACCTACATTACGGTAGTTGGTTACACTTACATTGGGTAGCTGCAGAGTTGGTTGTGTATAATACTTTTATGAATTTCTATGCATCATAGTTTCTTAGATTGTAGATTACTAAGAGAGAATTTGATTTTCTGGTGATCATGTTGACCAAGGGCTATATTGAGAGCAGTCTATGTTGATGTACAAGTTTTTGTACAGTGGAAAAAGTTGGTAATTAGAATCCCATTTTCCAAAACAGGGGAACAGAAGAGAAGGCATCTGTTATTGTTGTAACTATAAAGACCATACAGCTCCAAGTAGGGACTGGCTTGTAACTTTCAACTGCCCTAGTGTGCTGGACAGCTGGGGCTTAAATTGACCTTTCAGCTCTAACTTTTAGTGGGTAAAAAGGGTGTGTTTGTCACATCTTTTAAAGAGTGACAAGGAAAGATTGGTGACACTATGTCTCTATATGTTCCCTTATGACAGGAGGAGGGTTCCATATTTTAGACGTGGTTTGCATTGTATAGAACAAAGATCACCAGCTAATGTAGGGCAACTTTGTTTGGGGATCATTTATATAATGCATGCCTTTGTCTTGTGAAGTTTTTGAACCATTTCTGTCTAATTATTGACTGGCCCTACCTTGATACTTCTCTTTCTCTTCAAACTACCATTGTCGGTATGAACATGGAACTCCTTATTCAAACTCAGATATCAGAGGACCAAGACAAGTTTTGAAACCCTACTAGGAGAGGGACGACTCACAAGCTGACCGGGCTCTTAGGACTCAAAAATAGCTACCACATTCATAAGATAACATGATCCCTGATGCCATCTGAAGCATTCACCTAATGATTCCGGTTTTGTTAAATTGCAAATTGCTCAAGGAAGCAGGAGCAGTAGCAACAACAACAACAAGAGGAGCACTTGGTGGACCATGCCACTTCTTTGGTACTGGTAACAAAATTGTTTAGTTTGTGAAGAGAATATGTACCAATCCCATGAGCAATTTGGACCATAGGTGATGAATTGGTCCATCCCACCATAATTTCCATTTGCTCAACTAGTGCAACGGTCGTAAAAAGGGACATGCTTTCAAGTTTCAACTTCGGAAGCTCCAAACCAGCTTGTTAGTAAATCTGTCAATGGATCGGATTTTAATTCGAATCCGAATCTGAATATGGATCAAATTTTCAATCCATTAATTTGATCCAAATTTGATTAAAGTTGTCTAAACGAATTCGGATATGAATTTATAATAATTTGATCCGAATAAAAAAATTATATAAATAAATATCATACATATGTTATATTTATATTGGAAAATAAGTAAAAATGGAGTGAATATCACAATGTAAGGCTCACTTTTTTCATTTTCATTTTGTTTTACTCTCTTATTTGGTTTTTCTTTTTGCTTTCACTTCAATTTTTCATTTTCCCTCGTTTTTTTAGTTCATTATCAAAATTCTTATTGTTAATTTTTTGGTGTACATTTGTTTTTTGTGATAATTGGATCAAATCAAATTTTTGGATCGGGTATCTGAAAATTAATGGGTTCAGACATGAATTAAAATTTTTAAGTCCATCGAATAATCGGATCGGATCAACAAAAATTTAATCGGATTTAGATTCTGATATATGACAATCAGATCCATATCCGATTCGATGACAAGCCTACTTGTTAGCAATAGAAACTATTTTGATTTTACATCTCATTGGCATGCTTCCTACTTAAACTTATGGAACTATCCGAAATAATTTTGAGGTGGTTAGCCTTTTCTTAAGAAGATGGAGTTCATTGGTTCGAATTTTCTATTGTAATAATAATAAATAATAAAAAAGATGCTTTCCACGTAGCTCTGGAGAAAGTAGAACAATATCTGTGTATTGTATAAGGAATATATGGCTACATTATTAAAATGAAAAACATTTATCGAGGCCTCACCTTTGAAGAACCGATGCCGATATCAAGAAAAGAAAAAGGATTTTTGAGAGTCGGTACACTTAATTAGAGTTATTTGATAAAAAATATATATTAAAAAATATATTTTGAAAAAAAGTACACTAGTTAGATACAAAAACATAAATGCCAATTTTAGGAAAAGTGGTGTATTAAATATCTCCTAATTTTATGGAATAATTTTAATATTTAATGCACATTGACTCATGTGTATTTGTTAATATATATATAAATAAGTATATATATATATTTATATTTATATGTATATATATTTATATTTATATATGTATATTGTATTTATATACATATATACAAGTATATATATATGGAAAGTGTAACATTGAAAGTGTAAAATATAAAGTGTAACACTTTTACATTTTCTCAATTAATTAGCATTTTTAGTATAAGATGAGACATGTATATTCTGTTTGTGTAACACTTTATGTAATATCTCTCATTACNTATTTATATTTATACGTATATATATTTATATTTATATATGTATATTGTATTTATATACATATATACAAGTATATATATATGAAAAGTGTAACATTGAAAGTGTAAAATATAAAGTGTAACACTTTTACATTTTCTCAATTAATTAGCATTTTTAGTAGAAGATGAGACATGTATATTCTGTTTGTGTAACACTTTATGTAATATCTCTCATTACCTTGTGTAAATAGCTTGTTACATTGTTATTGCTACATTGTTATTATTACTTTCAATATTACCCTATAACACTTTCCATTAAAAAAGGTGATACATAAGATAATATTTTATACTTTACACTTTCAAAAATGTTACATTTTACACTTTCAATGTTACACTTTATATATTTATATACTNTCCATTAAAAAAGGTGATACATAAGATAATATTTTATACTTTACATTTTCAAAAATGTTACATTTTACACTTTCAATGTTACACTTTATATATTTATATACTAGTCATAACCCGTGCCTAAAGGTACGATAAAATATAAAATTCGAGCGTCCAAAAAATCGATCTCATTATATTAATATTTTTCAAAATATATTAACTACAAATTAATCAAATATTAAATGATTAAATATATGATAGAAATGAGTGATGTAATATTTTTAGGAAAGAAATATATAAATAATTAAACATATGATAGAAATAAGTGATGCGTTTTGACGTTTGAGTCAGACAAAGGGATGATGGGTGAGGTAAGTGATTGGTGATAATTTTGAGGAGGAAAATATGACTGAGACAAAATTTAAACACACTCTTGTTTTATTATATATACATTATCAAATATACATGAATTGAGGTACATTAAATACTAAAGTTTTCACATAAAATTAGGAAATATTTAATACACTAATTTCCAAAGAACATACACATGGATCAATGGAGGACAAAAATATCACAACAAAATTAGGCAAATTTAAATTGTATACTTAAATACAAATAAGTATCAAAATTAAGGACTTAATAACCCTATATTTTTTAGTGTGTACTTTTTATCAAATAAGTCTAATTTGGTGTACCCTTAACGATTCACCCAAAAACTACATACACGACTCATGCGTTTNTATCAAATAAATCTAATTTGGTGTACCCTTAACGATTCACCCAAAAACTACATACACGACTCATGCGTTTTCACCTTAAAAGAGCCCATTTATGACCCATCCGGTGGTTTGCAAGATGATCTTGACTGGCCCAATGGGTATATCTCGGGCCTACCCGTTTCCACCTGGACCACGGGCCACGAGATGGGCCTATTGTTCCATCTTTAAATGCTGATCCACACATCCTCCACCAAACAGTGAGCAGTGACCACTGACCACAAAATACTCATATTTTATAGATGGAAAACTGAAAATGGCGGCTGTGTCTGAAACAAATAAGAATTGCATGTCTTGAGTTGTTCGCCAACAACACAGCCTGAGCTCTTTTATTCGCAGCCTCAAGAGTCCCTTTCACTAAGGTTGGCTTAATGCATCAACCATTGATAGAACCAGGTCAGCTCATACACACACACACACACACAGAGGAGTGCAGAGAATTTTCTTTTATTTGTGTGTATAATGCTAATATGTTGAATTTATTATTGCAGTGAGTATAATTTCCAGTTGTTTTTGTCACACACACGTATATGTATATATATAATTTCCTATAGTTGTTTTTTCGTACAGATGTTTATTTGAGTGCAATATAACTAATTTGGATTCGTGGGTTTTTCTTTATCCTTCATTTCAAGTGAAAATTAATAGTTTCTGGAGAGCAGTGCATTTTCTACAATGCTATTGTGTTTGTATTAGAAGTTTTTTCAGGGGTTACCTTGTACTGTCTAATGCAAGAAAGAAATATAAATGAAAAAACTTTAAGGCATTTATTAAATATGGAATATGTACTTTTTTTTTTTTGAAAAGAGAAATATGTACTTGGATAAAGGTCGAATGGGCTTGGGCATACGATGGAGCTGGAGAATAGTTTTGGGCTAGTTGGGGATTTGCAAACAGTTTATAAGTTGTTTATAAAATTTGGGAATTCTTAAAATAGGAAATATGAAATTATAATCTTAGGGTCTGTTTGCTTTGTATATTGAAAACATGTTTTTTGTTTTCTAATGCAAGAAAACACCAAAATACTGTTTAGTTTGGACAGAGTTGTTTAGAAATAATACGAAGTCAAGAAGACAATTGACCCACTTCAGTTTCTTGTGTAATGTGTTATTTCAAATCAAAGACAGTCATTCCATTTTAAATATTCGAATTTCAGTGTGTATCTGTATGTGTGTGTGTACATGCGAGTACGCCAACCTAATTTTGTTGGTTTCAGCTCTAAAATCAATTTAATTTTCGGATGTTGTGGCTTGGTAATCATACCAAAGTTGTGTACCTAATCAGCAACCATTAACTGGTGGTGCTGTCTATCTTTGCTGTTCAGTTTGATGTTTAGGTTGTCCAAAAGTTATAACTGGAAATGTAACCCCATATTAGAACACCCGCCATCATCAGTGCAAGGTTGCTCTAGATGGGATCTTGATTTTGATTGCAAATGCACGAGGAGATGGGAATAATTGGGCGTTCTATACACTCTGCCTAGTTCATTTTTTTTTCATTTTGTAGAAACTAGTGATGCACTTCTATAGCTGTAGCCTTTAGAGCGATGTTCACTTCTTTGGTATTTGACGAAACCTCCTTATTTTAGCATGCATCTTTTGGAGAGTCCTTGTGTTGAGTTGTTTTTGTTTTTAGAGTCATTTTGCTGAGATATTTGGATTTTGCTAATATGGAGCAAAATTTGAATAAGGTCAAGTTTTCTCATCCATCACCTGAAGTGTCCAACTTCAGTTGTTTGAAATGAATTGATGCTGCTTATGACCCTTGCTTGCATAAATTAACCTTTTCAAAGGTGCTAATCATATCACCACATCACCATAGCCATTACCATCTATCTTCACATGCACAATATGACTTACACTCAGGCCTTTGTATTGGTTTGTGTGTGTGTGCATGTTTTTTTTTTTTTTTGGGGGGGGGGGGGGGGGTTGTCGGTGCTATGACTCATTGGAGCTTGAAGCACCTTGGACAGCTCTGGGGCTTTCATTCCTGAGTTGGCTGCAGCTAACTAGTCTTAGGCAAATTTGTCCTTGTTTGCTGCTCTTAACTTGCTATTTGTGCAAGGCTGAAATATCCTTCAACGCAAGAGCCACTGCTTCTGATTTCTTTAGAGTGCTGTTGCTTCTTGACTTAGCCACAGTCAAACTATTTTACACTCTATAAAAGGGAGTGTTTTAAAATTATACGTTCTGAAATGGCTGCAAACTTCTCTTTCTATACTCCTTCACAGATAAGTACTTTGACTCTACCTCTGATATTCATTGTTACCTGATCCTCCACTTCAATACAGTTATAAAGCACTTAAGTACCAATTGCTGCTAAATTCTCCTATACAGATAACATATGACATTTCAGGTTTCTATAAATTGTACTGTTTTATATACCACGATCCAATGCGTTCTATGTTTTCTGGCTATGATTTATTTAATTTATTTATCAGCTTCTCTGTATATTGGTTACATGTGCTTATTTTGATTTCAGTGTGCACCCTTCTTTGAAGATATATCTGCTTGTGCATATTTTTCGATTGGTTTTGCTTTTATTATTGGTCTGTGCCAGAAGGAAGAATGGATGTGGCGTCATCAAAATCTTGGTGGGACAAGTTTTAAGCCTGCAGGACTATGGCCTGGGAAGCATACAAAAGCAAACCAATCTCTCATTGGATTCTTCTACTTCTAAGCAGTGGAGCAATTCTTGTGGGATTCCCCGCTTATAACCTTCTGCCTCGTATGATGGCCTCTGACTGCGTTGATGTTAATTCCTATGTACTTCTTTTGTGGAATCTTTCCCACTCCTCTGAACTTAAAAATCACTCTTATCTTATATCGTGTTGGGTTTCTTAAGTGCTGCTGACAATCTCATGTATTCATATGCTTATGCCTACCTGCCGGCGTCAACTGCTTCTCTTTTGGCATCGTCGGTTTTGGTGTTTTCTACTCTCTTTGGATATTTTATTGTCAAAAAAAAAATAAATGATTCGGTAGTAAATTCTATTGCTATCATCACTGCTGCCATGACCATCATTGCTTTGGATTCAGATTCAGATAGGTATGCATATATTACTGAAAGCCAATACATTATGGGATTTGTGTGGATAATCATGGGATCTGCACTCCATTGGCTCATATTTGCTCTTGTAGTTAGTTTTTGTCGAATTACTAGGGAGAAGATCTTTTCATGTTGTCTTGGAGCAACAGGTCATGGTTTCCCTATTTGCCTATGTTCACCACGGTTGGGCTCATTGTCAGTAGGGATATTGAAGCGATGAGAGGCAAAAACTTTCAAGGGTGGTAGATCTTCATATTACTTGGTTCGCATCTGGAGTGTCATTACTTTCCAGTTGGGAGTTTTGGGAGGCACTGCTGTGGTTTTCTTATCGTCCACTGTGCTAGCCGGCGTCCTTAATGCTATAAGGGTACCTCTCACAACCATTGCTGCCGTTATTTTATTAAGTGACCCCATGAGCAGTTCAAGATCCTTTCCCTGATCCTTTCCTTCTGGGGATTCGGCTCCTATTTCTATGGAAGTTACCTGTGAGTAAAGATTTCTCGTGATCTGTTGGTAAGTAAATGTTGTAAGAGCTAATGCATTTGATCAAGATTTTATCAATAAGCAACTAGACGTAGAGAAAAAGATTTCAAGCGCTCTACGTCAGGATGGATATAGTTAGGAGAGCATTTTATTAAATCGAAACAAAATAGGGAGATATATGTTAAGGTAGCTGATTTCATGTCTAGAATTACTCAAACATATCTCAATTGTCTCAAGACATTCTGACAAAAACTTTGCATCTCAATTGTCCTTCAAGTGTTGCCATAACTTTGCTGGTCATCCTAGAAATTTATACACAACCTGCAATGCATTCTCTTCCTGCTCAACTTCATCCTTAGTTTTTCTAAAGCACAACTGTAGAATGCATACACCTCCTACTCTCAGTGGTCCATTTATCAAGAACCAGGGATTTAGGAGTGAATATGTTTGTTAATATGCATTTTTTCAATTTTTCGAGACGAAAATAGTCAAGACACAAACTCTATTCACCCTTCCACCCACTTATTAATATATATATATATATATATATATATATATATATATATNGAGCATTTTATTAAATCGAAACAAAATAGGGAGATATATGTTAAGGTAGCTGATTTCATGTCTAGAATTACTCAAACATATCTCAATTGTCTCAAGACATTCTGACCAAAACTTTGCATCTCAATTGTCCTTCAAGTGTTGCCATAACTTTGCTGGTCATCCTAGAAATTTACACACAACCTGCAATGCATTCTCTTCCTGCTCAACTTCATCCTTAGTTTTTCTAAAGCACAACTGTAGAATGCATACACCTCCTACTCTCAGTGGTCCATTTATCAAGAACCAGGGATTTAGGAGTGAATATGTTTGTTAATATGCATTTTTTCAATTTTTCGAGACGAAAATAGTCAAGACACAAACTCTATTCACCCTTCCACCCACTTATTAATATATATATATATATATATATATATATATATATATATATATATATTCATAATATAAAATATGATAGTTTTCAATAAGTTAATTTGACGGTCTCAAATAGACTCATATAACGGCTACCAACATCTCTTTCAAAAACATTCCCATTGCACTGTGCCTGAAGGGTTATCCCTAGTGTATATCCATATCTATATAATAAAATTCATAGAAAGTTGAATTTTATTCCCAACATAATTTCCCTCTTAAAAATATCACATTACACAATTTTATGGTATGTTTAACAATTTAATATTTGATTAATTTGTAGTTTAACATAATTTTTATTTCATTTGACGCTATTTTTAAAAAAATAATAGGTAAAAATTAATTTTAAATAATGTAATCAAATAAACAAAGAAATAAAAATTTATTATTTGGTATAATAGAATCAATTTTTTAATCACTCAAATCTTATATCCTGTAGTTGAGCCTGTCATCCTGACGTTTTCTGCGTCCACTACACCTAAAATAGAATGTATGAGGTATCTCCGCTATCGATGAATATTTGTTCATTAAAGTTGTCATGTGTTGTCCCCTGTTCACATGGCATGACAGTGGTTTCCCTAGATTCTATTGTTGCCGAGCTCCACGTTCCCGAATAGATCCTCTCTATCGAGCTTGTACATGTTGAGCTGAGGTCTATTCTGGACTGAATGATTCTGGGCTTTCAAGGAGTTGGGTTGTAGCCCAAGTTGACATGGAGAACACTATCTCCTAGAGGGCTTGGTTGTCTTAGTTGAGCATTCAGGGGATTTTGGGCTTGAAAGAGGCTGAGACTTAAATCCATCATCATCAATATCTATACATTTTTATTTTATTAGTTGATGTATACGTGCGTTGCACGTGAAATATGTAATGTTTGAATATTGTGTATTAATCTCTAAATAATTTTTTCCCAAATACATAACTTTAGTATGTATTCTCTTGTGTCTTTCATAAAAAAAAAAACAACCAATAACCATGCTCTACAAGGAAACCCCTCCCCACCCAAAAAAATAAAAAATAAAAATGCAGTCTAAACTAATATTTGATAGAATATGTAGTGAAAAATAATGCGTTTTTCTATTTTCATTCTTGTTTTTTAAAGATTAATCTCAAATACTTCTTTGAAAGATAAAAAAAGAACGTAAATTATAGTTAAGATTAGTTTCCAAAAGAACGTAAATTATAGTTAAGATTAGTTTCCAATATGAACTAAGGTAGCAAATAAGAAAGAAACTTAACTAACAACTGTCTAACACGTAATATATGTCAATTGGATTCAACCTCTCGCATATGACTTAACTTCATGCGAAGTAGGGTGTTGTAGTCAATATACGAAGACAACACACCCTTTGTCCACCCAATTTTTTCAAAGACGAACTATACAAGTCTCCATCATGATCACTACATTTGACACTGAGAAATCCCCTATTAACATTAACATACTATATATATTCATTGAAACGTATCATAATATAGTGTTTTTCATTAAAAACGTGTTCATTAATTTCAGCCAACTAACCCACTTATGTTCAGACATAACTTCTAAACTTCGACAAACTTGCCCACTTATCGTTGGAAGTGCAATTTTTTTGAACCTCATTTGCACTCTTCACATTTTCTCGCTTTCAAGTTTTTGAACTCTTAAGACGAATTCAAGTCTCAATAACCAGATTCTTATGCAAAAAGACCAAAAATTAAAGAAATGATGGAACTTTAGTATTCAACTCTAAATTCCATGTGGACAAACTAAATACTCTAGCAAGAAGTGTAACCTTTACTCTATAGCTCTATACAAGCTAACTATAAATTATGATAGAAACACAACATAATTGATGAGAAAATCTTTTAGAATAAAAAAACAATAAAGGATCCAAAAACATAAATAAAGCTCACCGTATCATTTATTAAATAGAACATTAAAATAAATATTCTATATATGTTTCAAGAAGGCAAGTAACCATACTTTTATTCTATGTAGATCATCCCCCTGCTCTTGACATGTTACTCAAAGATCTCATAGAATGACTGTGACGCCCTAAAATTCGGGTGTCCAGAATTATCCGATTGATCACCCATCAATCCTTGGAATACCAATGGATACCGTGTAATTCGATACCATGCCGTTATGCCCTATTTACCAAGATCCATAACTTAATAAAATTTGAGCAGAGTCTCNGTGACTTAAATCCATCATTATCAATATCTATACATTTTTATTTTATTAGTTGATGTATACGTGCGTTGCACGTGAAATATGTTGTGTTTGAATATTGTGTATTAATCTCTAAATAATTTTTTCCCAAATACATAACTTTAGTATGTATTCTCTTTTGTCTTTCATAAAAAAAAAACAACCAATAACCATGCTCTACAAGGAAACCCCTCCCCACCCAAAAANCAGAGTTTTGGTGTCACACCACCGGTTTCGTACATTGATACACTTTTCTGGAATTGCACTACTGAGGAGTTTATGAACCAAGTAATCGGGTCTTGCACCCTAGATAAAATCTAACCTGCTAGTTATACCCAACACAATTTTTTCATGCAAACTATGCGATTCAGTCGAATCTTCAATCCAACTTTCCCTGAACCCAAATATCATTCACCAAGAATGGTGTTTGATCAACCATGCACACACACCTACACTCATATCTTATGCCCATGGATGTGATGCCTCCATGCAAATGTAATGTAATGTATTATTGCAATATTAATGTTGTGCCTCATATGTAATAAATGTCATATGAGCTAATTTAACCACTTTCAACATTTATATCCAAAGCATATAACTTCCATAAAGTCATTACAATGTCAATATATATCATAAGCATATACTAACATTCACATTTAACAATAATTTTTCCTAAGTATGTCATACATAATCTATGCAATAACACACTTAATTTTCATATATGCATTTTGTTAAACACCTTCAAGGCACCAAATCATGTTATCACATAAAAATGCCAACATCACATAAATAAAAAAAAATTACATTTAGTAATTTCCACATACTTAATTTTCAAAATTTCAAGAAATCACAATTTAGCAATTCTTATGTATTCAAGTCAAGATAGAATTTATTCTAACCATTTTCAATACTCATTTCACATTTCAAATACAATAGGCACTTGTTAAATCAAATTTAACAACCTACCCATTTCATACAATCATCCTTGGTTGGAAATAAACCTAAGTGGGATGAAAACCTTACCTCTTGAAGCGTAAAATAATGTTAGAAAGCTCTAAGAACCCAAACATTGGCCAAAACCAAACTTTTCTCAAAATTTCGTCTTTGAATTTTCGGTGAAATCCTTCATTTTTTGTATGGTTGCGTAGCTCTCGTCGCGTAGATCAACTTTAATAATTGGCCATAAGAATTTCGACTGACAGAATTCTGTAGATCTAAAAAAGAAGTCTTAAAATCTTTTTTTTTCATTCTCTTTCTCTCTTTTCTATCTCTCTGTCTCGTCGCCTCTGGAGAAGAAAACAAAAGTGGATGACAAAAGTCTTCCACTTATATGTATAGTCTAAAATATATATATAGTCTCAATTTAGTTTTTAAAATATTTACGTTTTTGACCCGTACTTTAACCATTAATTATTATTTTATCCCTTTAATTAAGATTTTAATAATAATTATTATTNGAGATGAGACTCACTTATGCACTTTAACCTAAGCCTACTCCGGCTCCCATAACACAATGCAATGCCAATGTGTATAAATTCGCCATTAATGAAATAAATCCAATGATATTTTTGAAATAAAAATCATGTCTTTATTTTAAAACAAAATCATGTATCTTTGTTGGATGTTACACATCGAATGACTATTTTATAAAACAAAATCATGTGTCTTTGTTGGGTANTATCTTTGTTGGATGTTACACATCGAATGACTATTTTATAAAACAAAATCATGTGTTTTTGTTGGGTAGCAGAGTTTTGGTGTCACACCACCGGTTTTGTACATTGATACACTTTTCTGGAATTGCACTACTGAAGAGTTTATGAACCAAGTAATCGGGTCTTGCACCCTAGAGAAAATCTAACCTGCTTGTTATACCCAACACAATTTTTTCATGCAAACTATGCGATTCAGTTGAATCTTCAATCCAACTTTCCCTGAACCCAAATATCATTCACCAAGAATGATGTTTGATCAACCATGCACACACACCTACACTCATATCTTATGCCCATGGATGTAATGCCTCCATGCAAATGTAATGTAATGTATTATTGCAATATTAATGTTGTGCCTCATATGTAATAAATGTCATATGAGCTAATTTAACCACTTTCAACATTTATATCCAAAGCATATAACTTCCATAAAGTCATTACAATGTCAATATATATCATAAGCATATACTAACATTCACATTTAACAATAATTTTTCCTAAGTATGTCATACATAATCTATGCAATAACACACTTAATTTTCATATATGCATTTTGTCAAACACCTTCAAGGCACCAAATCATGTTATCACATAAAAATGCCAACATCACATAAATAAAAAAAAATTACATTTAGTAATTTCCACATACTTAATTATCAAAATTTCAAGAAATCACAATTTAGCAATTCTTATGTATTCAAGTCAAGATAGAATTTATTCTAACCATTTTCAATACTCATTTCACATTTCAAATACAATAGGCACTTGTTAAATCAAATTTAACAACCTACCCATTTCATACAATCATCCTTGGTTGGAAATAAACCTAAGTTGGATGAAAACCTTACCTCTTGAAGCGTAAAATAATGTTAGAAAGCTCTAAGAATCCAAACNTTCTTCACTCTTTTACACTTGAAAGACTAATGTTCCATTCAACTGTGGGCCAAATCATCCAACCTTGGGATTTTTCCAAGTGATGCCATTCACGGCAAGGGAATCATCATGTGAAGGTGAAATTCTGTCATTTGCCAACCACCTCCATTACATCAATTTTGTACCACTTCTACCTTGTGGGACTTTTGCTCTCCTAGCTTGTAGAAATTGCTTATTAAGAAATTACTATGTGATAGTTGAATTATTTTGAACATAGATCTATTCTATTCACTTCGAAAAAAACATGCTTGATTTGAATTAACACAACTTTACTAAATCTTATTTTGATTGATTATTCCGAGTTTAGATCAACTTTTATCCTACCTTAATCTTCACTAGCTTTGATATTGCCTTGCGCAAGTAATAAAAATTTTGATAAAATATCACAAGGAATAGTAAAACTCGTACAGTCTAGATGAAAAAGCTCGCTGATGTTATTAATTCAACTTGGCTATAAGGTCTAAAACTTGAGTCTTAATGTCATTTTTACCATGATTCCCTTAATATGAATCGAATTTTTAGAATTGAAAGGGAAATTAAGAATTTTTTTCCCCTATGGTGTACTGACTGAAGTATTAATTGCGTATAAGGTCAACAATAATTCACAAAATCAAAAACACATCAAAAAACAAGAATTTTAATTGAATCTTAATTCCACAATCTCAAAAAAATTGCTAAATCAAATATCAAGCTCAATAAAAATTTGTTGAAAAGATCAACAACTAAAACAATAAAAGAGACAAACCCGTTAAAGAAAAGTTGCCTTCTTGGACCCATATTATTATTTTTTTTTTTGGGTCGAGAGTCCCAAATTGTTAAAACAAAAACTAAGCACTATCCAAACAAGTTATTCAAAACCTTAGTCAAAGATAGATAACCACGACAAAGTCCCGTCAAAACCAAACCCCAACACAAAAAATCCACTTGTAAAGACAAAAAACAACTAAAGAACATTTAAAAAAAAAAGAAAATCAATAGCATACATAGAATGAGACTCACCAACATGAAGTATTGTAGCCGAGATGAGTATGGTGTTTGATTCTTTTTGGTTTGATCTTATTTGTTGTAGATTGAAAAACATGATTCATTGCTTCGTCAGTGATAGTGATTCACTGTTATAGATAAGAATTTCTAGATTTTTCCCTTGTTTAGCAATGTAGACAAACCGTGAGAATGAGAGTTAGAGGTCAAGAAAGAAAGAGAGATCGATAAGTAGAAACAGTTTGATTGAAGTATGGAATAATGATGGCTTGAATTGATTCCCTGTGTATTCACTACATAACATTGTCTTTGTGAAAGAATAAGAATACGAAAAACTCAAACTAATTAATCAATATTTATTGCCATTAAGTTACAATAATTATGATGAAAGATAAATTTAATAGAATTGGACGCGTCTAAACAACGTAAGATATAGGTATAGATATAGATATAGATACAAATTGGCTTTATGGTGATTATAGTATAGATGGAGGATTAAAAAAAATTAAAAATTCTTTGGGTTAAGGGACTTTTAAGAGTAGTATAGATATTTATCTATATCTATACTACTAATAAAAGTAACTTAACATATATACTACTAATAAAAATAACTTAACATGAAAAACTTTTGATTCATTATTGTACTTTCATAAAAGAATTAAAAAGGTCAGTCTATCATTCTATATTTAATATCTAAATTATCATCATATCCTTATGCATTTAAATCNTCTGTTAGAAAAGGGGGTATGCATGGCTCGAGAAACCAGGTATCATTAATGAAGGAAAGATTGGGTACAGGGAACGAAAACCAAACGTGTGCAATATGACGTACATTCACAGGGGCAAGTGAAGGAGCACATAATTACGGTGCATGGTTAGACAGTTAATGATTTGAAATAAGTATGTGCACATGACGAAGATCAAGTGGCTTGCATATGGATTATTCAGANACGTCAATTTTTATGAAAATTTTTTATTGATTATGTTACTCTTAAAAAATATGTGCATCATTATAAATTTTAACAAAATATTCAAAAAAATCTTCAAAAATTTCATCAATATAATATTACTCACCTCATTTGTAAAAATAACATTATAACTACATATGTATATTTTATTTTTTATCAAAATGTTTAACCTTGTATGTGTATTTTATTTTTCTTCAAAATGTTTAACCCTTTCATTTTTAAGATAAAAAATAACGTATATTGTATATATAATTTTATATAATTTTTTAGTCACAATAAACTTTTCAGACTATATTAAGATTTTATGTGAAAGCTTGATTTTTTTTTTAAATTTTAATATGCTTTATAATATATTATAGCATTGTATATTAAATTTTATCCCAATTGACCTAGATAATCCTAAATACAGTAAGGTTCTCATATGATTGGTATATTGATAATTATTTTTATTTTATTCAAAAATTTATAAGTGAAATTTTAATCAAATTAATTTTTTAATTATCTATTCTCTATTTATAAATGTCAATTTTTTTGAAACTTTTTAATTGATTATATTACTCTTAAAAATATATGCATTATTATAAGTTTAACAAAATATTCAAAACACCTTCAAAAACTCTATCAATATAATATTATTCATCTCATTTATAAAGATAATATTATAACTACATATATATGTGTGTGTGTGTGTGTGTTTATATATATATATTATTTTTCATCAAAATTTTTAATCATTTTATTTTTAAGATAAAAAAATAATGTATATATAGTTTTACATGATTTTTTAATCACAGTAAACTTTTTAAACTGTGTTGAGATTTTTTGTGAAAATTTAAATTTTTTTAAAATTTTAATATGTTTTATAATATATATTATAGCGTTATATATTAAATTTTATCTCAATTGATCTAACTAATCCTAAATATAGTAAGGTTGCAATACGATTGGTGTATTGATAATTATTTTTATTTTATTCAATGATTTATAAGTGGAAACTTAATCAAATTAATTTTAAAAAATTTAATTTTCAAACATCACTAAAATATCACTTTCAATTACAAAATTATAGAAAAAATAGAAATTTAATTATTTATTTTCTTCTTCTTCTTCTTTTTTTTTTTTTTTTTTTTTTTATCATTTTTCTTAAAGTTAGAATAACAAATCTTGAAAATATACAAAATTTTAAAAAATTCTATAGTGAAGCATGAGCGATGAAAAAATAAGTTTGATAAATCTAAGATGATATTTAATTCAAGTACAAATAAGATTTGTTATTTATTAATTTTTTAAAAAAATATTAGTCACGTGCAACGTACGTGGTGCATTGCTCTTAGATATAAATTATGGAATAATTAGTAGTATAAATAAGATAAGATTGGTCAAGAAAAATGAAAATTAAAGGTTAAAATTAATTGTTAAAACTCAAATGAATATAATTAAATGTTAAATTTATATACATAATTAATTTAAGAAAATTATGTAATTAATTAAAAAAATCAAAAGAAATGAGATAATATAATTGACTTTATAACAAAGATCAATGGTAAAATAGTCAAACAAATTTTTTTTCACTTTTATTGACTTTTTAAAGTAGTATAAATAACTCTGCTTGTGTACTTCAGTCCCGAACTCGGATAAATGTAAAGAGTTGTGTTAGGTAGTTGACAGTCAGCGTAAAACTCAACAGACTAAAAATCAACATGAATCCACTTATATTTTATTTAAAGAATATGACAAGATTTTCTTTTTCTTTTTAACATGTGATATTTTTTAAATTATGATTTAGTTCTTCAAAATTTAAAATTGAGCTTATTCGTGGTGCTTGTGTTGCTTTTGTTGTTTCACCCAAGCTGACAGTCCAGTGGTAAGTTATACCTCTTTAGAGTCGTCTTTGACTCTCATGTGATTATCAAACAGAGTTCGATCTACGAGAAAAACGTGGTTCACTACTTGACTTTCGTGGTGTTGTGGTGATGGACTGTCCGTCCAAGTTAATAGCTATGACTCAAACTATACATTTCATAGTATGGAAGACCATCATGGTAACACTCAAGGGAGATTACTACCTATTAGTCGTCCCTTCTGTTTTTAAGTTAAAAAAAAAAAAAGCAAAAATCCACGCATACACACAACCCGGGTCAGTCCATGTCTTTTCATGTCCATCTAGGGCCATCCCGACCATCTCTTTTCATCTCCAAAAGCCTCCCCTTAGGTAGGCCACTAGAGACAATCCAACCCACAACAGGCCTTCCTGGGCTAGCCCATTGGATAGAGGCTCGGGCCTAACCTTTTCCACTTGCCCCACGTGTGGGCCCCTGTTCCAGTTGAATTTGCTTCTCTCCTCCTAATTCAGATGTACATTCTCCACCACCAATAAAAAATCTCCACCAAAACATCGTACATGTAAGAGTACACGAACGTTTGGTCGATATCTATAGGAATTAAATAATTTTCGAAAACCAATAATGGCTGTGCCTAAGCCTAAACACAAGAATTGCATGACTGAGTTGTTCGCCGACGATAAGGAACACTTCTATTCGCAGCCACAGATACCCACTCACAAAGGTTGCCTTCATCTTCATGCATCAACCATTGATTGAACCGGGTGAGCTCACACACATAGAGTACAGAAATTCTTTTTTTAATTTGTATTGATAATACTAAGATGTGGAAATGTTGAATTAATTCTTGCAGTGATTATAATTTCCTGGGTTTTACTTTATGCCTCATTTCAAGTGAAAATTAATGGTTTATGGAGCTTGATTGGTGAGTTATTATTATCAGTAGGAGAATCTATTACGAAAACAGGGGCAGTATTATAAAGGGCTAATCGGATGTTGTTCTTCATTTTTTTTTTTGCATTAGTTTGTTGATGTAAGTTACTAGGTGGAGGGTCAATCGCTTCCTTCTTTCGCTATTAGTTGATCTAAAGGTTTTTTTGGTTATTGATTGCATTAGACTAGAAAGGACAACAGATACACAACTTCAGTCCCTTTTCTGTAGTCATCCTACGGTTTATATTAGATGTTTTTATCAGGGGTTACCTTGTGTTTTAATGCATATACATCTCTCGTGTATTCTTCAAACACATATGCACACAAACAAAAAAGCATACGCACAGAAATGTGCTATTGGTATTGGTGAAAGCTTGAGGTGTTAAGCAAGCGACATAAATTGAAAATTGATTATGCATATTTGGCCTTTAGTTAATACGGAGTATGTACTTGGGTGCAGGCCGAATGAGCTTGGGCATATGATGTAGTTGGTGAATAAAATTGGTCTAATTTGGAATCTGCAAATTGTTTAAGATTTTTTTGTTAAATTTTGGAATCCTTACGAAACAAAACAGAGATATAAAATTAGAATTTTATAGCTTGTGAGAAATTTATAAGGGTTGTTTGGGATTGGGGTCAGATTGCAAATTTGGGGGGCTATTTTGTGTGAGTAAACCAATTTGATTTTGTTAGTTTCAGCTCAAAAATCAATTTTATTAACATATTTTTGCTTGTTCTGCCATGAAAGTGATGGGTTGGTAATTGTTCCGGAGTTATGATCCATCGTCAAGCAATCATTGAGGGTTGATGTTCTCTATCTTCACCGATCACTTTTATGTTTAGGTTGTCCAAATGATACAACTGGAAATTGTAGCCTAGACAAGTGGTATTGTAAAACGAATTCTTCTTTTGGGCAGTTCTTGTTGTGTTTGGTTGGTTTTCTGTTTTATGTAAGAGTCATTTAGATGAGATATTTGAAGCTTGCTAATATGATGCAAAATTTTGATTGTGTCAAATAGTTTTGCAGAGAGAATTTGTTTCCTACATCGAATATTAGGGCCACAAAAGACTTATTCATATGACGTAGGGGCCTCGTCACTTATTGACACTTGGTTATGGGTTGGATACTCTAACCCATTTGAATTTCCCGATATGCATATTTGTTTATGCCAATTAGTTTTAGGTTGGATGCTCTAATGTTTTCTAGCTTGACTTATGTGAAGAAAAGAAAAAAAAAATGTTTTCCATCTTGAAGCCATCCAATTTCAGGTGTTTAGAATGAATTGATGCTACTTCAAATTTCATGATGCAAGGAAAGTTTAGTTTTTTTTCAGCGACGTTAGGGAAGTTCATGATCCCTGTTCGCATAAATTAACCTTTTCAAATGTGCTAATGATATCACCAAAACTTCTATCCAATCCTATCTCATATGCCCAGGATGACTTGTGCCCCTGGCTTTGTGTTGTTGAGGGCTTCATAGCTTGGTCCTGATTTGCTGTGACATATTGGAGCTTGAAGCACCTTGGACCCCTCTAGGGAACCCTCAGACCTGAGCGGGTTTAGCTAACATATTGTAGGCAGATTTGACCCTGTTTGGTGCGTTAAACCTGCTATTTGGGCGAGGCTGAAGGTCCTTCAGCTTAAAAGCCTGTCTGTCATTATGGTTTCTTGAGAGTGGTTTGGTTCCTCACTTTGTCAACCTTTAGCACTTAAACTATTTTAAGCTCTATAAGAAGATTGCAGATTATTATGATTAGTAGTATATTATGAAGAAGTTTGAAGGCAATCCATAGCATCTTCACTTCCTCAATGCTGACTCCATGCCTTAGTGTTGATATTCATTGTGATCTGATCCTCCACTACAAATACAATTAAAGCACCAAAGTACCAATTGCTATTAAATTCTCTTAAAAGAGAGCACGTATGACTTTTCAGGGTTGTATATTTTATACTGCTTGACATACCCTTCAAACCATTGTATGTGCTCTTTGATGTTTCTGTTACATATTTTCCCCTGCATTTTTTGTGTACCTCATTATCTCTTGATTTATTTTTGCACCTTTCTTCATAGATATATCTGCTTGTGACATCATTGGCTCTGATTGGTTTTGTTATTGTTGTTGATCCATGTTAGAGGGAGGAATGGAGGAGGCATCATCAAAACCTTTGTGGGTCAAGATTCCTGTGTGGAGGACCATGGCCTGGGAAGCATACAAAAGCAAACCAATCTCTCATTGGATTCTTCTGCTTCTAAGCAGTGGAGCAATGCTTGTGGCATTCCCAGCTTCTAGCCTCTTGTCTCGTGTCTATTTTGCCAACGGGGGCAAGAGCAAATGGATCATTTCATGGGTGGCCGTTGCAGGGTGGCCTCTGGCTGTGTTAATGTTAATTCCTACGTACTTCTTTTGTGGAATCTTTCCCACTCCTCTGAACTTAAAAATCACTCTATCTTATATTGTGTTGGGCTTCTTAAGTGCTGCTGACAATCTCATGTATGCATATGCTTATGCCTACCTGCCGGCGTCAACTGCTTCTCTTTTGGCATCATCATCTTTGGTGTTTTCTGCCCTATTTGGATATTTTATTGTGAAGAACAAAATCAATGCCTCAGTGGTAAATGCTATTGTAATCATCAGCGCTGCTATGACGATAATTGCTTTGGATTCGAATTCAGATAGGTACAGTTATATTACTGAGAGCCAATACATCGTGGGATTCATATGGGATATTCTGGGATCTGCTCTCCATGGGCTCATATTTGCTCTTTCAGAGTTAGTTTTTGATAAATTACTAGGGAGAAGATCTTTCCATGTTGTTTTGGAGCAACAAGTCATGGTTTCCCTCTTTGCTTTTGTGTTCACCACGATTGGGCTCATTGTGAACAACGATTTCGAAGGGATGAGCTCTGAGGCAGAAACTTTNAACCCTCAGACCTGAGCGGGTTTAGCTAACATATTGTAGGCAGATTTGACCCTGTTTGGTGCGTTAAACCTGCTATTTGGGCGAGGCTGAAGGTCCTTCAGCTTAAAAGCCTGTCTGTCATTATGGTTTCTTGAGAGTGGTTTGGTTCCTCACTTTGTCAACCTTTAGCACTTAAACTATTTTAAGCTCTATAAGAAGATTGCAGATTATTATGATTAGTAGTATATTATGAAGAAGTTTGAAGGCAATCCATAGCATCTTCACTTCCTCAATGCTGACTCCATGCCTTAGTGTTGATATTCATTGTGATCTGATCCTCCACTACAAATACAATTAAAGCACCAAAGTACCAATTGCTATTAAATTCTCTTAAAAGAGAGCACGTATGACTTTTCAGGGTTGTATATTTTATACTGCTTGACATACCCTTCAAACCATTGTATGTGCTCTTTGATGTTTCTGTTACATATTTTCCCCTGCATTTTTTGTGTACCTCATTATCTCTTGATTTATTTTTGCACCTTTCTTCATAGATATATCTGCTTGTGACATCATTGGCTCTGATTGGTTTTGTTATTGTTGTTGATCCATGTTAGAGGGAGGAATGGAGGAGGCATCATCAAAACCTTTGTGGGTCAAGATTCCTGTGTGGAGGACCATGGCCTGGGAAGCATACAAAAGCAAACCAATCTCTCATTGGATTCTTCTGCTTCTAAGCAGTGGAGCAATGCTTGTGGCATTCCCAGCTTCTAGCCTCTTGTCTCGTGTCTATTTTGCCAACGGGGGCAAGAGCAAATGGATCATTTCATGGGTGGCCGTTGCAGGGTGGCCTCTGGCTGTGTTAATGTTAATTCCTACGTACTTCTTTTGTGGAATCTTTCCCACTCCTCTGAACTTAAAAATCACTCTATCTTATATTGTGTTGGGCTTCTTAAGTGCTGCTGACAATCTCATGTATGCATATGCTTATGCCTACCTGCCGGCGTCAACTGCTTCTCTTTTGGCATCATCATCTTTGGTGTTTTCTGCCCTATTTGGATATTTTATTGTGAAGAACAAAATCAATGCCTCAGTGGTAAATGCTATTGTAATCATCAGCGCTGCTATGACGATAATTGCTTTGGATTCGAATTCAGATAGGTACAGTTATATTACTGAGAGCCAATACATCGTGGGATTCATATGGGATATTCTGGGATCTGCTCTCCATGGGCTCATATTTGCTCTTTCAGAGTTAGTTTTTGATAAATTACTAGGGAGAAGATCTTTCCATGTTGTTTTGGAGCAACAAGTCATGGTTTCCCTCTTTGCTTTTGTGTTCACCACGATTGGGCTCATTGTGAACAACGATTTCGAAGGGATGAGCTCTGAGGCAGAAACTTTCAAGGGCGGTAGATCTTCATATTACTCGGTTCTCATCTGGAGTGTCATTACTTTTCAGTTGGGAGTTTTGGGAAGCACGGCTGTGGTTTTCTTGTCGTCCACTGTGCTAGCCGGTGTCCTTAATGCTATAAGGGTACCTATCACAAGCATTGCTGCGGTTATTTTGTTAAATGACCCTATGAACGGTTTCAAGATCCTGTCTCTGATCCTTACCTTCTGGGGATTCGCTTCCTATATCTATGGAAGTTACCTGTAAGTAAAGATTTCTCATGATCCGTTGGCAAGTAAATGTCTTTTTTCCTCTCTATCTTGTCAAGTGTTAATATGTTGGGGGCTATTGATTATTTCTTGTTATATGTAGTATTGCTTAATTTATAGAACCATGGAAGGGCTTAAGTTGGGACTATTGGGTTAGTTTCTTATTGTTTTTCTTTGTACTGCCCAATTCATGGACCATAGAAGGGCTTGTATTTCCCATATGCACAGACTCATTATGGTGTATTGTATCCGTCACTGAAGCAATTTAACTAGATGTGAAGTGATTTATTTGTATCTTTTCCTTTGAATTAACCACACTAGATTTGACCTATATCAAACCCTTGNAAGCACAGGCTCATTATGGTGTATTGTATCCGTCACTGAAGCAATTTAACTAGATGTGAAGTGATTTGTTTGTATCTTTTCCTTTGAATTAACCACACTAGATTTGACCTATATCAAACCCTTGNGTTGACTCTATGCCTTAGTGTTGATATTCATTGTGATCTGATCCTCCACTACAAATACAATTAAAGCACCAAAGTACCAATTGCTATTAAATTTTCTTAAAAGAGAGCACGTATGACTTTTCAGGGTTGTATATTTTATACTGCTTGACANTGTGTTAGGAACCTTGACCAATACTCAAAAAGCTATAGGATTGATTGAACATATTAGATCAAAGCTAAGCTCTTAAACTCGAGTCCAATACCTCGAGTAGACCCTACCTAGGTCCCATATCCCCGGTGAGGCCCCACCCAAGAGCCTAACAATCCACCACGCTTCAGAGCCGATGTCTTTNTCTGTGTTAGGAACCTTGACCAATACTCAAAAAGCTGTAGGATTGATTGAACATATTAGATCAAAGCTAAGCTCTTAAACTCGAGTCCAATACCTCGAGTGGACCCTACCTAGGTCCCATATCCCCGGTGAGGCCCCACCCAAGAGCCTAACAATCCACCACGCTTCAGAGCCGATGTCTTTGTCAGCCAATTTTCCTAGCTACGGCGGCCGTCACTATAGCCTTTTGCTTAGGTAACACCTTCTGGAGGTTGCCTCGTACGAGAATCGAACTCTTGACTTAGTGGTTGCTCTAATACCAAATGTTAGGAACTTTGATCAATATGCCAAAAACCCCAAGGCTTCTCAAAGCTGTTAAACTCGTGTCCCATTCCTCGAGTGGGCCCTACTTAGGTCCCATGTCCTACGCTAGGTCCCACCTAGGATCTTAACACTCTTCAATTTGTTAATCCTGATTATGACTTTATTATGGTAGGAGAGACTCGATTTTCAATTGAATGAATGATGTTCGATTGGAAGTCTGGCTGACAAATGAACTGATCACNTGTTAATGCTGATTATGACTTTATTATGGTAGGAGAGACTCGATTTTCAATTGAATGAATGATGNTAATCCTGATTATGACTTTATTATGGTAGGAGAGACTCGATTTTCAATTGAATGAATGATGTTCGATTGGAAGTCTGGCTGACAAATGAACTGATCACATTGGGATATAAAGATAAGTTCACAATTAAGAGGAAAAACCACAACTCCCGTACCTTCCCTCCCACAACCAACCCCCCCCCCCCGGGCGCAGGGGCACGCGGTGGCAGGGTCCACTACCAAAAATTCCATAGCAATTGGAAGTAAAAAAAAAAAATGTCAATACATGAAAGAAAATGTTCACTCAGAAAAAGTTAGCTAATAGGACAACACAACTCTAAAAAGTATTAGCCTATTGAAATTCAAAACAGACACAATATTTGCAAGATAGTTTTAGTTTCTCTATTGTCAAATTCATTCGTAATGGGTTCATGGTTCATGTGGGTCTATATTATTGACCACATTAGACAAAATAAATTTAAGTATGAGTCATTGAAGTTAGTTGCCACAGGCAAAACTTGAAACTTAAAAGGATTCAAATCTGATCCGGATTCTCTCAGATTGCAAATTTCGTCTTTGCTAGCATCTATCATAGATTTGTCAGGTCCTGTTAATGAGTTTCTCTGTATCACACCCAATAGGACCCAATAGATTAGAACCAATTGGTAATACTGGGAAGAAGGTAACAAATATAACTAGCAGTCTAGCACAACTTTCCACTCCAGATGAATGTTTGTCACCTATATGCTGTACTACAAAAGGAAAATGGAAAAAACTTGAGATTCATTGTCATAACTCATCTTTAGAAGGACGTTGCATTATGTAGTTTCATTAATAGCAGGCTGTGGCTTTGGAGTGATATGTTAAAACATTGTCTGCTCTTGGCATTGACCGATTGAACTATTTGTGGTTAGTACTAATTCAATTTTGTTTTGGATTGCAATTTGAAATCACTCTCCTTAACAAAGCATGAGGGACAAAAGACAAGGGGTATGTATTTCTTGTATGTTTCTTTCTGGTAAAACTTGATTGTGTGCCTTTCATTTTTTTGTCAAACATCAAAATGGCGATGCACATCACCACCGATGAGACACATGAATAGTCAGTAGTGGTGAGTCAAATAATCCATTTGAGGATATTCGTCTCTTTTGCATTGTGAAGGGTTCAAGTTTTCCCATTTTTGTTCTTTTGTAGTTTGAGTATGGCTGGATGGACTACTACTTGACCATTCTACTTATCTATTGTATTTTATCCTTCTCAACAATATTGTGTTTTAGTCTGCACTAATTTAACAAACTTAGATTGAAACTCTATGGAGTGTTGAATAAGGCCATTGTCAAATATAGGAATGGAACAATCAGAAAATCACAGGTTTGAACCACTCCTCCTTTCATTCACCCCGATGTACTGATCACTTCTTTTCTTTCTTTCTTTCTTTTTTTTTTTTTTTGAGGGGGGGAGAGAGAGGGAGACTTGAACCCTTGATCTCAAGAAGACAAAACCTAGACAAGGAGTACCATTGAACCAAAAATCCGTTGGTTATTTAACATTTTTTTTTTCTAAACCAAATAACCCAGGAAAGATGTGTCTAATCACTCAACCGTATTTCCCTGTGACCAAAAATTTCCGCTTCAAAACACATAAGTTTTCCATCTCCATTGCCTGTGCAAGGTTGCCCATCTTCATAAATTCCAGCAAATCTACTCGAAGCATCACTTGATACACCAACCATTCTGAGACGTCAATACTTTTTTTGCAAGTCTCAACATAAAGGTTTTTTTGGCTAGGTTGAACATAAAACCTTTGCTATGAAGTTTTTGGTCCTTTAAAGGAAGAATATGGCGATGAGATGAGGAAGCACAACATCCTCCGAGCCGGCAAGCATATTAACCCACAAACCTAGTACCTCTCTCTATGGGACATGTTTTGTTTTAAACTATGTGGAGTCATATTGTGTCAAAATTTGTTCAATCTATATCTAGTTTTACTTATAATTGTGTATAGTTGAATTCGTATCCACCTATTTACTTGACGGGTTTAGCATTTTCACCCATTCACCCCTAGGAATATCCCATCACAACCCTGACAGTAAGTTCAAATTACACAACTAAATAACATCTTAAATATTATTAGTGAGATAAAATTCTGTTAGACCGCAGATGTTTTTTCCGTAGCTTATTGCTATTTGCTATTTCGGACCAATGTCCTTGAGGGCGCAGATCTGCTCTTCCCCCATTGCTGACATAACCGAAACCACGAGGTCCTTGTCTTCAGCAAACCCATCTTTAATCTACATATTAGAGAAAGTTAACAATAAAATACAGAATATAACAAGACAACACAAAGCCTAGTAAGGTCAATGCACAAGTATTGAAACGGGTAGTATAAACTGTCACTCTGGTGTATTAATACCTGACTCAGCAGATTTTCATTGGTGGGAAGCTTCAGGTCGGCTTTGGTGTTTCCATTTTCAGTTAGAAGACTCACCTACAAGTAATGCAAATCCCATTATGGAAGGAGTCACAGCAACAACCAACTCCACTTGTCTACCTATTACTGGCGTAAGTCTTGCGATTTCTGAGTGATAAATGCATTGCAGTACCTAGATTGTGAGTTGTTAGGGGTTTAGTGAATTATGATAACTATTTCACTAGAAACTAGCAAGCATCTGCATGGCTATTAAGACATATTTTAGTGTTATGGGTACAGAAAAAACTGCATAGGTAACTTACAAAACTATCTTCGACTGCAAAAGATAACTTACAAAACTATGTTCGGAGATATCAATCAGCTGATAGTCAGTACGATTAACATGGGAGCACCTGACATATATATAAATGAATACAGTATGAGACCACCAAGTCTATCAGATTCAATATAACAGCTCGAGAAACAGAGTCATGCAAGGGGCAAGCAAATAATAGGTAAGCATAAAAGAAAATAAAGCAACATACATCACAGTTGTGGGATGAAGGAACAATATCTTCAAGCTTCTTGCCACTAAATATATCAATTCCCACGAAGTGACACTTTGCATGCCCATGCTTCCCAGTTTTTGAAGTGGAGACCTCTACAACCTGAAAAACCAACCAAAAAAACTGGTTCAACTAAGTTAAAAGATCAAACATACCTCCGTTAACATAAGGGAAAAGAAAATGATATTAGACTTGTTTGAAGTTGGCAGAAATAAGTTGATTTTATAAGCTTCGGAATAAAATAAACCAAGTCCGTTTAGACTTAGGCTTCTTGGCCACTTAGAGCATCTCCAAGAGGCTAGCTAAAAGGCTTTTCCTAGCTATTTTGGATAACTTCTTCCCAAAATGTGAAACTCCAAGAGACTAGCTAAAAGGCTATTTAAAATAGATAAACCTCATTTTCACTCGCTCAATGTAGCTAGCCCTTCTCCCTCTCGCTGGCCCTCTCTCTCTCTTTCTCTCTCTCTGAAGCTCCACAGCACAGAACCAACATTCAGCTTCACTGAGAAGGCTCCACCGACATTCAACACAAATTCCACCGACTCCATCGCAAGCTCCACCGACTCTACCGACTTCAAGGAGGCTTTCTTTCTTACATTCAGATCTATCTTTCTTTCATACATACATTCAGATCTCCAAAACATCTCCGGTGGGTATATTTACCCAATCATGTGGGTATTGGTTTACTTGATGGGTCTTGCCTGATTGGATTAATTTGTGATTTTTGTATTGTTGATCATTTGCTTGTATTGGTTTACTTGATTTTTGTATTCTTGATTTTTGGGTATTGGTTTACTTGATCATTTGTTTGTAATTTCAAGGGAGTGTTAGTTTTCTATGTTTTGATTGTATTGGGCAATGCTAGATTGTTATCGGGTATGCCTGTGGCATTGTTCAATTTGTTAGTCAGAATCTGTTATTTTGGTTACACAATTATAAGTTGAGATGCTTCACTGAGGATGGATACTTAAATAATGCATAAAACCAATGAACAACAATGAGAAAAGTGAAAGATTTTTGCTCTAATTGATGACTTGATTTGGTCTGTTGTTGATTTGCATTGAGGGTAGTGCTTAAGTTGATAAATTATTGTTTGAACCTACCTGATTGTATTAATTGAGAAACTCCAATTTATGATGCTTTGGTGTAAAATTTCTTAGAAGGATGACTTCTCACATTCAAGTAGTTTATCCATCCTTTTTGTCTCATGTTCAAGTAGTTTGATTGGTGATATTGTTGGTCATGAATATCATTTGTGAATTGTGAATTATAGGCATTACTCATGGATCCATGACATACTACATAGTATTTTAGATTTTATTATTGAAAAGTTAGTTGAAGTGGTTAGCTAAAATAGATAACGTTGTTGGAGTGAATTTGAAAAAATGGTTAGCTAAAGTAGATAATACAATATTTAAATATATTTTGAGTAATTATTTTAGATAGCATTGTTGGAGATGCTCTTATACAACAAATTTTTTTGACCTAAAAAGGCTTATTTAGGTTGATTCAAGAGTTTTTTGAAAGTCGGTATACTTTGTATAACTTATTTGACTTTAAGTGCAAACTCAAAAAATATTTGGCAAAAAGTACACTTTGGAGCAGAAGAACCAAAATACCCCTAACATCATCACATTATTATTGAAAAAATCAAATAAGGAAACCAATTAATTTGAAAACTAAAACTCTTAAATTTTAGAATTTTCTTATATATATATATAAAGAGAGAGAAAGAGAAAGAGAAAGAGTTTTAATATAAAAAAATTTTAAAATTTAAGAATTTTAGAAAGAATTGTTAAGTTTTCATATATATATATATGACCAAAATAAAGTTAACACAAAATCAAAAATTCTTTTTTAAATACTTTCTAAGATAAGAACTATTTTTATCTCTCTGTATATATATTTGTGACATATATACGATGACGTCAATGTCATATTACTTGTAAAATATATACGTGGAGTTGAATCACTGTAGACATTATAATGTGACATCAATATTTACTGTATACACGCAACATATGTAAATTTTGGNCAACCATTCTGAGACGTCAATACTTTTTTTGCAAGTCTCAACATAAAGGTTTTTTTGGCTAGGTTGAACATAAAACCTTTGCTATGAAGTTTTTGGTCCTTTAAAGGAAGAATATGGCGATGAGATGAGGAAGCACAACATCCTCCGAGCCGGCAAGCATATTAACCCACAAACCTAGTACCTCTCTCTATGGGACATGTTTTGTTTTAAACTATGTGGAGTCATATTGTGTCAAAATTTGTTCAATCTATATCTAGTTTTACTTATAATTGTGTATAGTTGAATTCGTATCCACCTATTTNGAATGGTATCACACTGTGACTTCAATGTAACACTTCATACACACGTCACATAAGGATTTAAAAAACACATGACGAGTATCACACTGTTAATCTAATGTCACAATGCAACTACTCCATATGCATTATTTTTTCATGGTATGGGCATAAAAAAATGTAACTTTTCACGTCACACTGCAAAACAAACATCATTTGCATTGTTTTGCGCAGAGTGGGTCTCATACAATGTGACTTAAATGTAAAATTGCATAAAAGAGAGAGAGAGAGTGAGAGAGAATAAGGAGAGGAGTGCAACGATGGGAGAGAGAAAATAGAGGGAGATATAGATATTACCGGTGAGAGTCAAATATAGAAAGGGAGAATAGAAATTTTTTTAAAACTAATGGAATCATTTTAAAATTTAAACGGTTAATTATCTTTTAATTTAAGAAACCACTTAGTCCATTAAAATAGAATCAAAAAAAAAAAAAGAAATTGTCCCAATAAAATAGAAAATTGAATTCTACAATTAATCGCCTAAATTATCTTCCACGAATAAAGAAATTTTTTTTTATGTAAATGAAATATTTAAAAACCAACTAAAGTGCATCTGTTTACAAAATCTATAATATAAAATAGGGTAGATTTCAATAAGTTTATCTGACGGTCTCAAATAGACTCATCCAACAACCACCAACATCTCTATTAAAACCATTGTGCTTTTAGGCACAAGTTGCCTTTAGTATTTATATAAAAAATGACTTATACACAAAAGATTTATATTAAGGTATTTCCTCACAAATAACTAGTGTATAGAGTACCTTTTCACAATTTTTCCTTTATTCAATAAGTTAATTTTATGGATTTTTCTTTCAATTTTTTGGAGTTTTGTCATGAGTCCTATATAATTTTTTTGTTTATTATATTCATAAAATATTATTAGGGACATAAAAAAAATTTAAAATTCATATTTTGAAAACTATTAAGCATGTGTAATTATTTGATATTTTGACACAAAAGTCAAAAAAAATTTAAAAATCACTCCAAATAAACTTTTTAAAATTTTTCAGCTTGGTAAAGAATCCTTAAACAATTTTGAGAACTTTTTTAATTCTTGATTTTTTTATAAAATTTTTCAAATTACAACTTTCCACCTAATAAAATCACCTCTAAAGAGGCCTATTCTAGTATGTCACATCTTTGTCAAAAATCAAACTGGACGGTTTTACGGTGACAGAATGTATGACTATTTTGGGGGTGTCAAAAAAGCCAGTGTGCAAGGCAAGTTCTGCCAAGTTAATGATTTTGACCAGCAATAGCAGGTTCATGACTCATGATGACCTCCAAAAATTGATATTATTTATTGATTNGCAAGGCAAGTTCTGCCAAGTTAATGATTTTGACCAGCAATAGCAGGTTCATGACTCATGATGACCTCCAAAAATTGATATTATTTATTGATTTTATTAATTATTGTCATTAATTTNGGTTTTACGGTGACAGAATGTATGACTATTTTGGGGGTGTCAAAAAAGCCAGTGTGAAAGGCAAGTTCTGCCAAGTTAATGATTTTGACCAGCAATAGCAGGTTCATGACTCATGTNCCAGTGTGAAAGGCAAGTTCTGCCAAGTTAATGATTTTGACCAGCAATAGCAGGTTCATGACTCATGTTGACCTCCAAAAATTGATATTATTTATTGATTTTATTAATTATTGTCATTAATTTAATTATACGGACTAATATTAAAATTCATCACCTAATTAATGGTTGTGATCGATAGAGTCAACAAATGGTATCAACTTGTAAAGTCCAAATAGTATTTTCTTATAATAAATACACTAGATTACACAAAATCAAAATGACTGGGCCACCCCATAGCACATCCCAGCATACATACTTACGTTTGTATTGTATATCTATAAACTTAGCTTACAAATTCTAGGTAAACACTGAACCTCCATTCAATCTATGGACACAATTGCTACTGAAAGCAACTCAGACCCACGTCCCAAAAAGTCGCAAACAATCAACAACATAAATAACCATGAATCAGTACACATACAGAGAGATATAGAATGGATTGTGATCATAATAAGCCAGCATGATCTGGGAAACTAAACACGAGCCTCGGTCAAAACACATGAAAAAACTCAAATAAAAAAGGATGAACTTGNGAGATATAGAATGGATTGTGATCATAATAAGCCAGCATGATCTGGGAAACTAAACACAAGCCTCGGTCAAAACACATGAAAAAACTCAAATAAAAAAGGATGAACTTGACAAGAAAATTCAACAATAGGGAGAGACAGAGACCTTGCAGGGCATGTAACCATTCTTGCGGATAGTTCCAGCTTGCTGTGGGAAGGTTTTGGAGGCCCCAGCATCGGCCTTCGACTCGAAGTGGTGCTCTTCGTCCGACATCTCTCTCTCTCTCTCTCTGAATGTTGAGGAAGGAAGAAGACCTTGACAACAATAGTACAGGTCTTTTATCTGGGGAGAAAAAAGGCACAAAAATAAATTACCCTTTACAAGAATTGAAGAAGGAATTAGATGCTTTAGGCAGAAGACCAGAGGAGAATATGGATCACACATACTGAATTATGCCAGTTGAAAGAATATGAGCTCATTATTCCTTTGTAGTTATCATCTCTCAATGGGCATTTCTTCCTCTCTCTTTTTTGTTATTTTACTTAATAGTGTTAGAGGTGGAAGAAGTGCTTTTTAATTTTTTTTTTTCTGTTTTATAGTTGTTGGGTAATAACTAGTTTAAACACTAATGTCTATGTGATTAGATATTTATATTTTAAAACTTGCGTCATAATTACGGAACTAAAAACGAACGATAAGAATAATTTTTTGACGTGACAAATGATGGTTCTCCTCTTTCCTTAGGTTTCCTTACTCATAAAAATTTAAGAGTTAAAAGGATGATATTCCTAATGTGTGGTTTATAGATATTATATGTATTCAAGGTTCACAACGCTACGATGAGTTCAAATATAAGTGTTTCGAACAGTTCTATTATTGAAAAAATGGTTGTTTCAGGAAATTCTAAAGCTCTTGTGGACTTGTCATCGCTTGGACAGGAAATAAGACACATCGGGACTTAAACCTATATGTGGAATGTTGTTTTCGTGATTTGAATTCTTGATGTCGAGGTTATAATGGGACAGACTTTCGCTGCCCACTCCTTATGTTAGTGATATATGAAAAGTGCGATTTGTTTTAATCTTTCAACCCCAACTGAATTATTAAAAACATCACATATGCTCAGACACCAAACCTATAGAACCTTTAAAATTATTATGAACATGACCTTACTGGCAATTATGCAAGTGTGAACCAATGGATCTTTGGTCCAGTGGTACTTTTTATCTTATGAATGTTTTGCCTTCTTGAAGTCAAGAGTTCAAATCTCCTTCCCTTCTCCCTTCCCCTCCCCCACCCCCTCCCGCACCCACAAAAAAAAAATATTATGCAAGTGTGAAGCATACTGTAATGACTGGTGAGGCAAGGAAGCATCTGTTGTGGTGGGAATCTCTCCCTCCCCCATTCAAAATTGTGGGGAACATGACTTTTATACACATGGTCCAATTATAATATTGACTAGGCTGAAATTATAATATGATGAGATAAGCACATACCTTTCCTGAATCTAGCTAGCTTGGCAAGAACCCATTTCTCTCCCATATATCACACAAACACACACACACACACACGCGCACACACACATATCTATATGTGTGAATCCCCAAGTTATCATGTAAATTGTGATATCAACGACCGTGTTGGGTGAGCAACAATTGCTTTGTCACAGTACTTACTTTTGCGCTAATGGGTCACACTTTGGCCAAGTATACTTTTGTGTCCTGAGAGCCAGAACGGATGACCATAGAAATGGGTGCACCACGACACAATTTATGGGTGGTGATGCATTTAGGTAATATAGTCTAAGCAAAAAAGGGTAAGACGCTTTAATGTAATTAGGAAGACTCGGCCTGAGGTCGTGCTTGACAGCTTGAGGATGCAAAACTTCTTAATTACTTAGACAAACTCACCTTGTTATGTATTACATGAATAATATGCAAATATGAACATGAATCTTTTGTATCATTATGTACAAAGGACAGACCTTCTTGACACCTTTAATGAAGCTGCCCACCCCTAGTATCTTAAATGCAGAGCATTGGGGGATGAGGTGACTGTTACAATGTTGTTTAAAAGACAGAGGTGGAGTTATTATTTAAAAATGTAGACAGAAGAAGAGTACAAAAGAAGTGTGATGCATACCATCTTCTTGTTGACCTATGGACTTGTCTGAAAATGTTACTTTTTATTTACTCCAAAAAGAAAAAATTAAGTTGTTTGAGAGGGTTTAATGAGCATTTATATGCTGAAGCACATTTACTCATGTGAATGCTAGATTTTGGTTCAAGTATGTGCAAGTATTTCAATTATGAGGGTAAAAGTGAGATTTAAAAGGGNATACCATCTTCTTGTTGACCTATGGACTTGTCTGAAAATGTTACTTTTTATTTACTCAAAAAAGAAAAAATTAAGTTGTTTGAGAGGGTTTAATGAGCATTTATATGCTGAAGCACATTTACTCATGTGATGCTAGATTTTGGTTCAAGTATGTGCAAGTATTTCAATTATTAGGGTAAAAGTGAGATTTAAAAGCATAATCTCCTACTTCAATATAAACTAATCTAAAGACGTAACCTGCTAGAATGAGTGTGACTTCACATATTTCCACATTTCACCACTTTCGAGTGTTTAATGCATACTGACATCTTTATTACAGGTGAGTAGATGTGAAAAATTTCTAAACCCTATGCGATACAAACCAAGAGAATTATTTCTGGTTGGCCTGCTAGTCCAGTGGTGTTGGTCCATGGTATCACTGCAGGTCCACCAAAATTTATTAGTTATAATACCTCTGCATAAGAATAAATAAACTTACAACATTAGAACAGTGGACCACATAAATATCTACAAACATCTGTCTATTTGAGAGACCAAACACCATGAATCATCTAATTTTTCTTTCTTTTTTAGAGTGTGAGATGAGGTTTAAACCTATAACCACCTGCGGGTAGTAGTGAGCCTTTACCACTGGGCCACTCCCTCACCCATATCAATCATCTATTTAAGCTTTTTCCAAGTGATTATATCTCTCTAATATCTGTGCAGAGAAAATGCTTCCAAAGCATTTGCAGAAGAGACAACCCAAACTTCATTGCCTTACTAGTGTCGATAATCAAGCAAAATTGGACAATCCATGTCGTTCTCCACATAAAAAATTGCACAGTACAAATCTACAAAATCAAACATGCCCTAAGAAACCAGTTGGGAACCACACAAAGTATATTTCATCACATAGTAGCCAGACAAAACATAGTTAACCCACTAATATCAGATCACACCTTAGTGCCTGAATGTTTTAGTGTGATCAAGTGAGCCATCATGCCTTTTTCTGGCTTCCGGCCTATACAGGTCAGGTTGTTTTGTTTGGAAGGCGATTAATGGGAACCCGTTTTCTATGTATGTTAAGCCTCACAACTATGCTTTTTCTTCTTTTGTCAAATCAAAGTTCTTCGTGCCATGAAGAACAGCCAAGTCGAACTAAAGCCCCACAATCCATTCTTCCAGTTGAACTCTTCTCATCCTAACTTTGCTTTATTAATGACAATAGAATAATGTATGTAACAAGAGGCAAATGAAAAATGTATGAAGAATATTGCTTCCAAGGATCAATTCATGTTTATAAATTAAGCTTTTCTGCCACCAATAATGGTAAGGTTAAAGAGAATGATGGCAAAGCCCAAACAAATATCTAAGAACTACTGTACAATCCCCCAAAGCAGCAAAACAGGACTCAAAAAATCAAAGTAAAGAACGGATCAGAAAAATTGCAAGGAACCAAACTCTTCTAAGTTTTCTTCACTGTCTTCAAAGTTGCGTAACTGGTTCAATATCCTTAAGAAGTCCAACTACCTGCTGCATACTTGGCCGCTTTGAAGGAAGGTCAGCCGTGCATAGATATCCAATCTTCAAAGCCTCCTCCATTTGGATCTCCGGTCCTGTTCCGTGAATTTTTGGATCAATAGCTCTTGACCCCTGATTCTTCCTTACTAATCCTCTCACCCAACTGACCAAAGTTGCTTCTTTCTTCTCTGGATAATCATCTCCAATGGGCTTTTTCCCGGTAATGAGCTCAAAAAGAATGATCCCAAATCCATAAACATCAGATTTTGGAGTTGGGGCCCTTGGAGAGCCAGTTTCTGGCTGAAGAAACTCAGGTGGGACATACCCCGGTGATCCACGAGCAATCTCATCTACAAGGCCATGACCAAAAATCTTTGCCAGTCCAAAATCAGACAGTCTTGGCTCCAAATTTGAATCAAGATAAACACTACTAGCTTTGACGTCTCTGTGAATAATGGGAGGTGAGCAGCCATGGTGGAGATATGCGAACGCTCGTGCAGTACCAAGTGCAACTTTATGCCTAAATCTCCAAGTTGTGAACAAGCCTTCAGACCGAACATTTTGAATCCCATTATTGTCATCTTCTTCCCATGTATCTGTGCTCCAATCTTCTGTAGTTTGAACCCCAAGCGGCAGATCATGAAGCAAATTCTGCAAATTTCCATTCTCCATATAATCATAAATGGCAATCCTTTGCTCTCCAGCCAAGCAGTATCCTGTCAATGGAACAAGATTAGGGTGTTTGATACGACCAAGATACTCGAGCTCTCGTGCAGCTTCTTGGTCTGTCATGGTGGATCCATGGACCAAGACCTTAACGGCCACATGAATCCCACCTAGTAGAAATCCTCTATAAACAGGCCCAAACCTCCCTTCAGCCAACAAAGTGCCCCTATCGAAATGCGAAGTTGCAGACAAGAGATCTGCAAATGTGAAATTCAACAATGGCTTCTCAAAAATCACCACTGGGACTGATGTTGCGTGCTTAACATCAGCTACCCATGTGGTTGAATCAGTCTGGAATGAAAAGGGGCCAGAAACATTTTGTTCTTCTTTGTAAGAATTCTGTTTCACTACCCACATTCTCGTTTTCCTTCGACAACCAAATGCTAAAAATAGCAACCCCGCAAGCAAACAGACCATTGATAGGGTTAAAGCCAGAGCAAGCTTGAGGCCCCTATGCTTTGAAGCTTTTCTTTTGAATAGACCTGGGTTTGCAGCTATTGGGCAACTGTTTGATGATCCAATGAAAGCTGATCTGAGGGTTTCGGGCGTGAAGTCTGAAGCACAAAGGGTCAAGTTGTTATAAGAGAAGTTGAACCTTTCCATCCAAGGGAGTTTTTCTATGAGTGATAATGGGATCTCTCCACTTAAATTGTTGTATGAAACATCAAATTCTTGGAGGTTCTTAATACTCAGAAGAGGAATATGACTGGTGAGATGGTTTTTGGACAGATCAAGTGTTCTCAAATTGCTCAACAGTGAGATTTCAATGGGAATGTGACCAATGAGATTAGTTTCAGAAAGGTTTAGATACTCTAAACCAGAGAGCATACTGATTTGTGGGAATTGTTGTTTGGAAAATCTATTGTGTGCAAGATTGAGGTGTTTGAGATTCTGGGCTTGATTCAAGTTATTGAAAAACTCTCCACTAAGTTGATTTTCAGATAAGTCCAGATAAGCTAAATGAGACCAATTGAAGGTGGAACTGAAATTTACCTTAGATATATGACCTTGAAACTGGTTTTGGCTTAAATCAATCACCTCCAATGACTCTTGAAAAACATCTATCACAGGACCCTGAAACTGATTCCCAGAAATGTTTAGATACACCACAGATATCATCCCCGAGAAGTCCGAATCCCTTCCGGTAATTTCATTGCCGGCAAGGTTCAAGGACTTGAGCTTAGGAAATGCAGCACCAAAACCATCAGGAAGAGTACCAGCCAGATTGTTTGATGAGAGATCAATGGAAACCAAAGAATGACAGTTCAGAATCCCCATTGGAATGCTTGATTCATACCCATTCTGGTTCAATTTAAGAACTTGCAAACTGACAAGAGAACTTAAAGCTTCAGGGATATTCCAAGAGAAATTGTTGCAAGAAAGGTCCAAGCTTTCAAGTAGACCAAAATTGCCTATGTTGCTTGGAAGGTTCCCAGATATTTGGTTATATGAGAGATTAAGGGTCTTAAGTGAACCCAAACTCCAGAAATCAGAAGGCAAACCAGTGATTTTGTTATTGCTTAGATCCAAAGATTGAAGGTTTCTGAGTTTTCCAATGGTGGTATCAGGAATCAAACCAGACAGACCCAACCCGGAAGCAGAAAGCCCAATCACATTTTCTTGTTTGGCATCACAGAATACACCTTGCCATGAACAAACAGGGGTAGAGAAGTTGTAAGCTGTAGAAGAGTTTAAACCCATATTTTGCAAGAAATCAGAGACAAAGAACCCATCTGTATTGGGTTGTTGAGAAACTAAAGGCCTGAAGAACAGTGTTAAAACCAGAACAGAACCAAAAAAGCCAAGCCCCATCTGGATAAAGACTTAAGAAAATTAGATTATTAAAAAAAAAAAAACAGAGCTTTAAATTCAGAAGAATAGAGAAGAAACTGTACCAAAACCCTTTAATCACCTTAAAAACCTCTCTATCTGAGACTTCCAATACCACCATTGTTATCTTCATCAATGGTTTTGTGGCCACTTTGGGCTTTATTTTCTGGCTTCCGCGGCACCACAAAATCCATAACCACCACCAAATCTTCACTGTGAACAGTGGTTTTGGGGTTTTGAGAAGAAGATGGCTTCTGGGATAAAAACAAAGTCAAAACTCACAAACAGCCAAACATTTTCCTGCAACTTTTGGGTGGTCCTGTTGTGCCCAGAAAACCCCAAAACTCACTGTAAAAAGCTTAGGAGAACTGCTAATTCAGGGACAAATGGTGTTTGTGAGGGGAAAAGTAGTTTTTGGAGGTTCAAGAGAGAATGAATGTGAACTTACCTCGTCTGGCCTTGCAAGTCCAATGAAGCCAACAAAGAAAACAACCCAACTTAATAGTTTTTGTCTGTGTTGAAGTACAGGAGAATTGAGAAGCCCAAATTTTTTCATATAAATTTCAACATGCTTTTCAAATGAAATCAATTAAAGTTTCACAAATAGAGAGAGAGAGAGAGAGAGAGAGAGAGAGGATTTACAGTGTGGAGTGATCAGAAGTTGGGCTTCATAAAGGACAAGGATTGAAGGAAATGTCTTATGGGTTGGTGAAAGTTATCAGAAAGCTGATAGGTGGAATTCAATGATTCTGCATTGAGTGCAGATATTGATCATCTTTTTCCACACAAGTTGAAGAAGTTTTTGGTTTCTTCTCTCCCTTAAATAAAATGCAGTGGGTAGAAATAACCCTTCAAAAGTCAAAACAAAGATGGTTTTTTGATACTCTTTGTGGTAAAAGGCANAATGCAGTGGGTAGAAATAACCCTTCAAAAGTCAAAACAAAGATGGTTTTTTGATACTCTTTGTGGTAAAAGGCAAACACAGTAAAAGCAAAAGTATGCCTTCCTTTACTAACATATATTGTACATCCAATATAAAAGCTCTCTTTTGTTTTCCTTCTACATCCAAAACTTCAATCTTCTGCCAACTTTCTTGCCCCACTTGAGCCTTAATTAGAAAATCCTCTTTTGTTTTTCTCTCTTTTCTGGGGTTTCAATTGAGCATAAGTTCTAAATCATATTTTAAGGAAGCAAATCGTTGGCTTTAGGTTTCTAGGATTTTGATTGCAACAATGAAGGCTAAATTAATGACTTGAATAGACCTACATATCTATTCGAGATGTTAATCCCATCTTAAAAGATATGCTATATTGTAGTTGTAATAATAATAATAATTTTAAGAAAAAGATGACGCTTTTTTCATAGTTTTTTTTCATACATGCAGAACCTCTCTAATACTTTTTTTTTTTNATCTATTCGAGATGTTAATCCCATCTTAAAAGATATGCTATATTGTAGTTGTAATAAAAATAATAATTTTAAGAAAAAGATGACGCTTTTTTCCTAGTTTTTTTTCATACATGCAGAACCTCTCTAATACTTTTTTTTTTGGCCCCTTCTGTCTTAAGTAGATCAGCCACCAATTATATAAAATAGGTCTCTTTTAAATTCACGAAAAATGATATATTAAGAAGAAAAATTGAGAAAAAAAAATGTATTAGAGGAACTCATTTCTTATGGAATTTTGGACAGAAGTTTGGGATTTATATTAATTAATATAGGCATGAGAACATGGGATTTTCCTATTGGATTTCCCATGTTACTTGTCTGTGTTTTCATTCTTCAAGAAATAACGGACCAGAAGGTGTTAACAAGGATATAATTTGATTATTCAATCATAAAGACTTCTAGGTCATGTTGGTATATATATATATATATTTATAGCATAGTATGGATCATTATTTTAATGATTGGTTTAAACCCCATCCTCATATGAGCTAGCCTGTTATCCAATGGAGAGAACCCTTAGGACCAAAAGATTTAGGTTTTATCTTCCCCTAATCCCATGAAACACTCTTCTATGTTTGAAAAATAGTATCACCATCACTACATGTTTGTATAACTTGTAAGTAGTATGAGGTGGTTTCATTTTTGACTCACTTTACCATGAAAATGACAAAGTATCAAAGTCGCTGTAACACCGTTGGGTGATTAATTATGTATAAATGTATAATCTCTTGTGAGGGAGGAGTATTCAAAAGTCATTGCAAATAATATAAAAAATTATCTTTTCTTGTTAAATACTCTGTTTTTTAATATTTCTAAAATGAATATAAACATCCTGACCCAAAAAATGAATACAAACATACATAGACCTAATCAATTTAGTCACGACCCATGAATTTGATAGAAAATTAGCATGGAACTAATGGATTTAATTTAGTTTTAGTTGGTTTGAACGTAAGTTTGTGAAATTACAAATAGGTCAAATAAATGGATCGATATGAATCCAACTAAATACGGCATGAATTCACTTAACACAATTTACATGTAACATGAAACCAACATGACACACAATTAGTTATTCACTATTATAAATAAACTAAGTATAAATTAAATAAATTTTAAGAAGATATTCTTTGCAATTGCCAGCCCTATGCAACATAAACAGTAATATAAAGTTTGGCCTTGACTACAGTACCAAAAAAATTTTAGTACTATACCTCTAATTTTTATTATTTTAATAAATATTTTTATAATTTTTGTGTGTCATTTTATAACCAGAAAAATTATAATTTTTGTGAAATTATTGTTCTCGTAATTATTTTTATAATTTTTGTGATACTTGCGATAGATTTTAAGTACTATAAAAGTGTTAAATTGCACGATACCATTTTTTTTTCCCGATATTGTAGACTTTTCCATACAATTTTCACAAACAATATTAAAAAGGTTTCAANATTTGATAGAAAATTAGCATGGAACTAATGGATTTAATTTAGTTTTAGTTGGTTTGAACGTAAGTTTGTGAAATTACAAATAGGTCGAATAAATGGATCGATATGAATCCAACTAAATACGGCATGAATTCACTTAACACAATTTACATATAACATGAAACCAACATGACACACAATTAGCTATTCACTATTATAAACAAACTAAGTATAAATTAAATAAATTTTAAAAAGATATTCTTTGCAATTGCCAGCCCCATGCAACATAAACAGTAATATAAAGTTTGAACTCGACTACAGCGCCAAAAAAAAATTTAGTACTATAGCTCTAATTTTTATTATTTTAATGAATAATTTTACAATTCTTGTGAGTTATTTTATAACAAAAAAAATTACAATTTTTGTGAAATTATTGTTGTCGTAATTATTTTTACTATTTTTGTGATCCTTCCGATAGATTCTAAGTTCTATAAAAGTGTTAAATTGCACGATACCAATTTTTTTCCCGATATTGTAGACTTTTCCATACAATTTTCACAAACAATATTAAAAAGGTTTCAGGTGGGAGGTTAGTTTGTATTCCATTGACTTTCGCCATCACAATTTTACCTCTAAAAAGTGAATAGCCTAGTTTCTACTTTGACTAACAAAGTTGGCTAGAGAGTGAAAATGGGACCAACTCCACTGCAAGTCACAAGGGACCACCAATCTAAACCATACACTTTGGTGGGCCATCTTCACAAATTGGTAATTTTGCATCTCTTTGTCATATCATTTCAGTTGTGTAAGCCAAGAATGTGGTAGATATAAGTTAGTTTCAAGTTCATTTCAAGACTTTGAATCTCTCTCTCTCTATCGCGATTACGAGATGGTGTGGGGTCAGGGCCCCACAACACCTCCGTTCCACGAATCTCTCCACTAACCCTTGGGTATTATTATGTCTGGATCATAGNTCAGGGCCCCACAACACCTCCGTTCCACGAATCTCTCCACTAACCCTTGGGTATTATGTCTGGATCATATTTCAAAAGTAAAGACCTAAGATCATTATGTGCAAAAAATTTAGGGTTGATCCAAAATGTTCTAGATGGATTCTAAATAGATTCGGTTTAGTTGTTATTTAATATGTTTGAGTCGTGACTTGTATATTAGATCGTAACTTACGATATTTTATTAAAAAGTTACTCATTAATACTGTAAAAAAAAAATTCAAGATCAAGGATAAAAAATCGTTTCAGTGTATTATTTCGGTCACTTAGGAAACGAAAATTTTTCGACGTGTTTTAGAAATGTTTCGATCCGTTTAGAAAATATAATGAAAAAAATAAAAAATTTAAAAATTATTTTTCTAAAATATTGATAAAAATATATCAAAATATCTTGAAATCCCTTGAAACATTTCAAAACAATTGTACAAATGTATTGAAATGTTATAATATATATAGAAATATTATGGAATACCTCAAAATATCAAAATTTCGATTCCATCTTTATTTTCGTTTCGATCTCCTTGGAAACAGAAAAGTTTCAGACGTTTTGAAACGAAACAATATTTTGATCCTTCTTCGAGATATACATTACCCAATTTTTTTTTTAGCAAAAAAAAATTAATTCTTTTTACCTAGCCAAAGGGAATGTATCCAATTTGTTCCCTTTGTAATTAAAGGTGTTAGAAGAAATGGATTGGATAGAATTTCCGTACGATTATCTCATAGTTGAACCCACGATGGTACAATCCTTGGACACTTTTATCATTATACCAAATGATCTAGTTTTTATGCAAATAAAGTATAATTATTTTTATTCATTGTTGTGGGGTATGTTTGTGTGTGCGAGAGAGAGAGAGAGAGAGAGAGAGAGGGGGTTGCGCATGCTAACACCGACAGGAGAAGAAGTGGGTGGGGGTGTGTTGATGATATACATTGATCGAGGAAGAGTGAGAAGAAATCAAGAGACATCATTAACTAACTTCCCACAAGACACCACAGCCACCATTGGAATCATCATCAGGGTCATGTTCATGCCACCAAACTTTNAATCCACTCTAATACTAGATTTTCTCCATTCTCTTAATCCTATATCATTTAACATATACTAGTGAGGGACTTATTTAAATACAATAAATTTCACTTTGATTCATAGTAGAATTTAGTATTGAAAAGTTCTCTCAATCAAAGACGTAATCATAATAACCCTCACTAGCTAGAAAACCTATCTAACTGCACCTACACGAGAAAAAACTCCTAGTTATTATAAAGAGTAAAAAACACATATATTCTTGAATTTTGACAATATTATACAGATATCTTCTGATATTCTATATAAATAATATAGAGATCTTCTTAGGTTTAAAACGCATTGCACTGAGACCCTTTTTGTCTCTCTTCTCTCAATGTTGTTAATGCAAAGTGATAATTTCATCTTTAAAAAATTTATCATTGTCCCAATTGCCTTTCTCTAAATTTAGTACCCAAAAAAATTCAAAAAAATCAAACAAAATTTGATTTAGTATCTAAAAAATTGATATAATTTAGTACCCACAAAAAATGATTAAATAAATTTCAATATTAATTTGAATATAAATTAGACAAAATTAAATTTTAATTTAATAAAATTATATATTAATTTACAATATAACATTAATTTCATGTTGAATATT